TGAGTCAGTGTAAAGATAAAGGCCACCTCTCCTGCTCAGCAACATCTAAGGCCAGCTGGACAGCCTTTACCTCTGCAAATTGGCTTCTTTCCCTGCAGTGGCCTCTGCAACTTGTTGTGTAGGGCTCCACACAGCAGATTTCCATCTGTAGTGTTTCTCCACAATGCAAACATGCTCCAGCAGTGAACAGGGCAAATGTCTTTTCACTTTCTGGTAGTTCACTGTATGGTGAGGCCTCTTTAGCACACGTTACCTCTTCTGCTGGTGATATTCCAAACTTTTTACCTTCAGGCCAGTCCATGATGACCTCTAGGATTCCTGGACGGCTCAGGTTCCCCATCCACACTCATTGTGTAATCAGTGCAACCCACTTTCTCCAAGTGGCATCAGTAGCAAGATGTGTGGGGAAACCTCTCCTTTAAACATCCAGTTCAGCACTGGCAGTCGAGGTGCCAGAATGAGCTGTGTTTCAGTACCGACTACTTCAGAAGCAGCCCGAGCCCCTGATATTTGGCTAGGACTTTGCACAGTATTTTGCTCACTGGCTGACACTTACTCCTTTTGGCTTGCTTAAACAATTGCTCCTCTCCTGTTAGAATGCATAAATATCTCTCAGATTGTTTAAATAGTCCCATATAATCCATTTGCCATGTGGATTATAAAGCTTTCCTTTATCTCTTCAGCATATTCTGCTTTTTAACATTCTGCTCAGTTAGCCAATACGTAGCTGCACCACTGCTAGCGCTTCCACCACCCACTCTTTCCTGCCCCTCTCCTTCTTTTGTGTTTTTCATTAGAAAAAGTTCCCTCACATCTTTAGGGAGTGAAACTGTTCATAAAAGCTTGCTGCATAAGCAGTGTGTGTGAGCGAGATAATTTCTTGCTTTCCTAATCTGCTATAACTTCAGAAATTCCACCCTGTGCCACAACAGAAATTGGATGTTATGGCACATGGGAAATTTCTACATTAAAGAGTGCAAGGGCACACATTACAGCCTCCCTATTTCTATGGGGGTTGGGATTAATATTTGAACCAAAAGACCGGGCGCCAAGGTCATCCACCTAAAACACTGAACCCCAGAATATTTCTCATGACAATTTATAATTGCAGAGCAAGTTGAAGTACATTTGTACATTTCTTCATTTGAAGTACATTTCTCACCTGAGAGTCAGAAATTAGCTTTGGCAATTTGCTACACAATATTTTGTTCTGCTTCCATTGATAATCATAACTCTTCTGAGTTGCTGTTTCCTACAACCTAGATGTGTTAACGTTGAACTTTTTGCTCCCATATAAATATATATACATTTACATTTACTCTCTTTTTGGAGTGGAGGCCGGTCACCAGCGGTGTCCCTCTGGGGTCGGTCTTGGGACCGGTGCTCTTCAACATCTTCATCAGTGACAGACGATGGCATCGAGTGCAGCCTCAGCAAGTCTGCAGATGGCACCAAGCTGAGCGGTGCAGTCGATGCATTGGAGGGAAGGGAAGCATCCAGAGGGACCTGGGCAGGCTGGAGAAGTGGGCCCACGAAAACCTAATGAGGTTCAACAGGGCCAAGTGCAAGGTGCTGCACTTGTGCTGGGGCAACCCCAGGTATTGATACAGACTGGGGGCAGATCTCCTTGAGAGCAGCCCTGCGCAGAAGGACTTGGGGTCCTGGTGGGCGAGAAGCTGGCCATGAGGCAGCAGTGTGCGCCTGCAGCCCGGAAGGCCAGCTGTGCTCTGGGCTGCATGAAAAAGGGGCGGCCAGCAGGGAGAGGGAGGTGATCGTCCCCCTCTGCTCGGCTCTTGTGAGGCCCCATCTGCAGCGCTGCGTCCAGGCCTGGGGCCCCAGCACAGGAAGGACGTGGAGCTCTGGGAGCGGGGCCAGAGGAGGCACTGAGATGAGCAGAGGGCTGGAGCAGCTCTGTGTGAGGAAAGGCTGAGGGAACTGGGCCTGTTGAGCTTGGAGAAGAGAAGGCTGTGGGAGACCTCATGGTGGCCTTCCAGTGCTTGGAGGGAGCGTAGAAACAGGAGGGGGAACGGCTGTTTGTGAGGGTGGATGGTGATAGGACAAGGGGAATGGTTTAAACTGAGACAGGGGAGGTTTAGGTTGGATATGAGGAGGAAGTTTTTCCCCCAGAGGGTGGTGAGCAGCAAGGTGGAACTAGATTAGAGCCCCTGTGTTCTGGTTGCTTTCTATTGAAATATTCATTTCACTGTAAGCAATTTATATATTTGTTACCCTTCCAAATAAGCAAAGCCGCATGTATTTACCTTGAATGTTTACTTTTAAAAGCAATATTAATTCATTTTGGAACTATCTAGAACCTGAGATGTGAATTTATATAATTTTTTACCTCTAACAACACTTCATATCATTTTTTATTTTCTGTTACTGCTACTGGTTAAGTAGTTTTGATCCATTTCCCTGAGTAGGATGATAAAATAGTATTTCCTGTGAGAACTCCATGCCCAAAGATGCAGCAGGAGAAGAGAGAAAAACAGAAGAAAAAACCAAAACCAACAAATGAACTTCATCTAATGTGTTTGTTAGTATTACACCGGTTGCTGAGGAAGTGATGTGAATATGGTGTTCTTTCTGTTCGTGTGTGAGCATTCATGGACCAACTGGTGCAAACTTTGCAATATTCCAACATTGCCACCTTTGCTTCCAGCACACAGAAGCTGATACTGAGCTCCATACTCAGCTTCCAGGCCGTAATGGACTGACTCACACATGAGCTGAAGGAGCCACTGCTCCTTTTGTGGTGCGACAGCAGTGCACAGCTATGGTGCACAGCTCATCTTTCTCATCATTGCTAGCACTGCTGAAACACACCACCCAGCACCTCGGTATGCTCACGTCTACTGTTTGGTCTCCATAAATGTTCAGCAAGCAGCAATGAATGTCAACAGGGGCAATTTTTTCCTCAGAAGAATTCAGCCCTCAAACTATTTTTTATTTATTTATTTTTTATTTATATTTATTTTTTATTTATTTATTACCTCGAGTACTGTGTCCAGTTTTGGGCCCCTCACTGCAAGAAAGATATTGAGGCCCTGGAACATGTTCAAAGGAGGGCAACAAAGCTGGTGAGGGGTCTGGAGCACAGGCCATATGAGGAGAGGCTGAAGGAGCTGGGAATGTTCAGCCTGGAGAAGAGGAGGCTCAGGGGAGACCTCATTGCTCTCTATAACTTCCTGAAGGGAGGTTGTAGTGAGCTGGGGGTCGGCTTCTTCTCTCGTGTCATCAGTGATAGGAGCAGGGGGAATGGCTTCAAGCTACGGCAGGGGAGATTCAGGCTGGACATGAGGAAGTGTTACTGTTCAGAAAGGGTGGTCAGGCACTGGAATGGATGCCCAGGGAGGTGGTGGAGTCACCGACCCTGGGGGTGTTCAAGGAAAGACTGGATGTTGTATTGAGGGACATGGTTTAGTAGGAGCTATTGGGAATAGGTGAACGGTTGGACTGGATGATCTTTTAGGTCTTTTCCAACCTTGGTGATTCTATGATTCTATTTACCGAGTACAAATAACAGATCCGAGATTTTTTTTCAGAAGAACTGTATTTTCATAGCAGCACATGCATGCAACTCTGATCGAAATACACACATTTGAAAATGAGATTACACTTCATTGGTCAATTGTTTACCAGTTGCTGTAATTTTATCTCCAGCAGGTGGCAATGCTGCATCATGGAATTCCTATGACTTACACTGTCTTAATTGGGCAGTATTCCTTAATCTGCTAGTAGTTCACGTGAAAGAAACGCTTGCAGCTTACTATTACCCTCACCTGGAGCCTTTTAATTCCTTGCCTGAAGTATTTTAAACAGAGAATGTTATTTAAAACAGACGTGGCAAATCATAAGCTTCAGGGAAATACTTTACAGTATGCAAAACATGTAAATTTGATTACTTTCATACATTTCTAAATGAAGTTTCCTGAACCAGGGACTAACCCCATCAGAAGCAACATAGCAGCATCTTAGTAAGTGAGGAAGCAAACTTTCCCTTTTATTTAGAAGCAGAACAAAGATAAAGAAAACAGAAGTTCCTTATATTTCTGTATGTTTAAAAATAACACAGCATTACGATTTGTTGTTTCAGCACAGATTAACACATCATGGTATACTATACACATCCTAATCCAGTCAGGATTTACTAACCCACTACAGAAGTGTTCTCACAGGTCTTCAAAATATACTTTTAAATATAACATTTTAGCAGGAAAACAAGCACACCTCGATTTTCATTTTTCCCATGTGCTAAAGCTCTTAAATGAAGCTGCTCCAATTACATCAGATAGACTTTATACATTTTGTTCCCTTCATTCGAAAGAAAATTTAAAAAAAAAAAAAAAAGGAAAAAAACCAAGGTTAAGAATAAATGGTGATGACTTCACGTCCACTGCCTCGGACTAGGAGAACTCTGTCCAGGCCTTCTGTTAGAACTTCCAAGAACTCCATGTCTGAAGGATTGTTAAGTCAAAGATCACGGAACAGAAGCAAAACAGCAGCCAATGACTCAAGACCTGATGTACAATTACACAGCACATTCATCAGGGAGCTTCCCCTTTACTGTCTGTTATGCTCAGGCACTTCCACCTGCTTATTCAGATGGAAGTGAGGATTAATTTAGGGGATTTCCATGGGAAAACATGTTGTTCTACCCTACTTACCTACAGAAAAAAGTAATTTAAAGGACAAGTTAAAAACTGAGGAATTTCTTACATCAATTCAGTTGACAAAAAACCCGTGGTTGATAATTCCAAGTGTTGATAATGCTAGTACTTTTCTGTGTGTGTGAAATGCAAACTAAAGCAACGTGGAATCAAGTTCCAAGAAGTACACAAGCAATATTGAAAAGGATACAGTTTTCATCTCCTTTTCTGTTTTTAGGAGGTCCAGGCATATTCAGGAGAACTAGCTGAGCATGTTGTGATTTATTAAGCACCACTCCATTGAGCTTCACAGCAGTGTGCATTCTTCTCACATTTGACTGATTCCTAGCACACAAATATATTTAGGTACTGACACAATACTCACATAACTGAATTAATAAACTCACGTGTATCTCATACATCTGAATTTTTAATTTTATCTAAAATGCATTTAAACTTCAGCTTAAACTTCAGGGATTTTTTTATTTTAGCATCTGCCTTCTGTGACTTATTTTCTCTTCAGAAGAAAAAGTTTCCTTGTTGTAAGTTCCTGAGGAAGTCATGCTGTTATTTATGTAACAAAATTAGCCAGAACTGGAAATGAGTCACATGAACCAGTGCAACAGAAATACCCAGTTATCAAAGGCATCCACTGTCCTAAAGCAGATCCTTTACGATTGAAGCAGTTGCTCCAAAAGGGAACTTTGGAAACACATGGTGACAGCAGATCTCAAGAGCAGAACTGACAGGCTGACACAAAATGCATCACCATATCCCATGCGATTTCCTTAGCACTTCTACTGCAAGACTGCTGGTTAAAGCATAACCCTGCTCCACTCTGCAGTACCCACAGACTGTCTTAGGTCGGGGAGTGGACTGGCAAGTTAGTAGCAGCAGGACATGAGACATCCTCTGAACTGCCTGACCGAGTCCATACGGTTTTCTGAATTCCAGTAACAGCAGTCAAAAATGTAGCAGAAATGCTCCAGCATTGTTTCAGATCAGGAAACAATAGAAATTACTGATATTACTATTCTATAGTTAAGCCCCATTTTCCTACTAACTGCTGTTCCCTTCACACATTCCCTTCATACAGCACATCTTGAAGTGTGCATTTATCCCTAGTGTTGCAGGTGCAAATATAGAGGAAAAAAGATGAAAAATGGAAGACTGAAAACTTAGCAGTCAATGGAGGCCAATCCCACCAATTCCAGTTCTCCTTAAGAAATACGGTAACATTTCCAAAGCTAAGTTTATCAGTCTGCCCTGTCATGGGGCCATACGTCCCAAACAAGAACAAACTGTATATAGAGCACATATAGAACAACACAATACTTGAAGGTCAGCTTTTCAAAGCAGAACAGCATCTTGATAAGAACTACGAGGAGAGAGATAGAAGTAATTGAAGAGATGTATAAGTCCTGAAGTTCTCTTAAAATACAGATAAAATGCAGGGGAAATGGGAAGAGCATAAATGTGTGGTGGGGCAGACAGGATTTCAGTGCTGAAATAAATGGTAGAACAGTTCAATGTGTACAGTGTGAACTGAGGCTCACTTAGCTTTCAAACACTAGTTGAACTGAAGTCATACATGGAACACAGTGTAAGCCTCCTAGTTTTCTTAAGCTGCTCAAACTGGCAAATTCACAAAAAGAAGCCAACACTGACCTCTGGAAAAAAACAACAACAACAACAAAAAGCAGAGCAGTCTTAAGCTGGTTCTACCCAAGTACAAAAAGGGATGCAATGTCCAAAAGTGCAGCAACCATGTGCACTGATAAAGGCAAGCCTTCTCTGTTCTGAAGACAGAATGGTATGCAATCATAAAGGCTACAGTTGAAGCTGGAGTGTCTATACCACTACAGCAGCACTGTTCGATGCCTCTACCCACACAGTGGCTGAAGGGGAAGTACAGGAAACAACTAGAACTTCTCTTGTAGGCACAGGGAGCAGATCTGCTTGCAAAGAAGCGTGCCCAGACAGTAATCTCCTGCAGCAGGTAGCTGAGCATCAATAGGCAGTGAGAAGTTCGCACGTCAGGGAACCTGAGAATGAGTTGTGTGTGTGCATGCACAGTCTGCATCAGACCTACAACCAGAAACTCCCCCTCAAAAATACACTGAAAGGAACAACACTCAAAACACAGAAAAATGTAAGCTTGTTATGGCAAGGACCTGTAGGAAGGTGGATGAGACCTTCCCTGCTGCCTGAGAAGCCCTTGCAGAACTACTTCACTGCTCCAAAGACTGCAGAGGAAGGACCCATCGTGTCACAGTAGACTCCAGTGTCAATTGAGCCACTTGGTCTGTTCCCAGTACACTGAACAGTGCAAACAAAAAAAGTATTATGGGTGATAGTCATAGGGGCTTCTCCTTCGTGGCGAGCAGAAGCACCCATTTGCCAACCTGATTTAATCTCAGTAGAGGCTTGCAGCATATCAGGGACTCACATTAGGAACATCACCAGGAGATTACCAAGCTTTGAACAGCCCACAGACAACTTATCCACTGATGTTTTATCACGTGGGCATCAATTACTGTCAGGAGCATCCCAGTCATGTCATGAGGGGCTATAGAACCCCTCTGAGCAACTGCAAAATGCTCTTTGAGCACACAGTCTTCTCTTTGATCCTACCAAAGGAAAAGCCTTTGAAAGGTCTATTTGAATCTGGCAGATCAGCAATGGTTGCAGGACTGGTGTTACAGCCAGGGATTTGGCTTTTTAGACCACAGTTCTCTTTAAGAAACCTGGTTTACTGGGCACTGATGAATTCCTCCTGTCAGAGAAGTGCATCTTTGGTTATGGGCTTGTCAACAAGGTGTATTTGGTATTATGATGAGAGTCTACTGCAGATCACCCAACTAGGTGGAAGAGGAAGAAGACAAATTCTATAAGCAACTACAATACACACACAGTCACAAGTCCTTGTGTATCAGATGCATGGGTTTATGAAAGGCAAGTCCTGCCTGACTAAACGATCTCCTCCAACAAGAAGATGATCTGCCTAGAAGGTGAGGAGCAGGATGTGGCTAGTAGTGAAAATTTTAGTGAAGTGTTTTGACAGTTGACAACTTTATTCTCCTGGATATTAATTTACTCAAGCATATGCAGAAAAGACTATCGTAGGTGGTGAAAGGACTAGAAAGCATGAGGACTGGCTGTGGAAAGCGGGATCGCCAGGTTTAGAGGAAAGGAGGCTGAGGGTAGATGTCACTGTCTCTACAGTTATCTGGAAGGAAGGTGTCAGTCTCCTTCCTCTGGTGACAGTGACAGAGAGCCAGAAACTGTCTCAAACTGCACCATGGGACATTTGGATTGGACTTTAGGAAAAACTTCCTCATGGTAATGTGGTCAAGCATTAGAATGCATTGCCCAGGGAAGCGGTGGATTCCTTCTCCCTGGAAGTATTTGATAGTGGCGCTAATGGGACTCAGTAGGTTAAGTTGACAACCCAACTTGATATCTTGAAAGTAAAGAAACTTTGTTAAAGAAACCCCAACATAAAATAATCTTTGATACTATGATTCAATTCTTTAATTTTCATCTGCTTGTGTCACACCCAATGTATATCCATACATGGATGGTAGAAAAGCCAGAATTGGCATTCAGTGGAAAGTTAAAGCTCTTTCTGATACAGCTAGCTGGACCATAAGGATGGAATTTGTTACATGAGGGAATATTTTTTCCAGACTAAGTATATATTCAGTTTTTAGGGGTAGTTAATTAGAAAACTAAATATTACTCTGGTGGAGAAGAGCACTCAAGTCTTGCATTCTTACAGACATTAAAGTAATTCCTCTGTAACTTACCTTGAAAAGAAAACTGATAATATTTACACAAAAAAAACCCCAAGCCATTAACAGGTCATGATGCAAACTGTTTTTCAGTGATAAATGCTAAAGCACAGCATAGAAAACAACATACAAATCAATACACAAACTGCAAATCATGGCTTAGGAACATGCAGACAAAGAACAACACCACAAGAGCCAGGGAACAAAGCCTAAATTGCTTAAATGAAAGGAAATTTAGAGACTTACAGATTTCCCCATTCTCTATATGGGAGGGAAGCAAATGCATAAGAAGTTATTTTTATAGTATCGAGAACATTTTAATTCACCAGTAATAATAACTGTACAAGCACTTCAAGTTCAAACTGTAATTTATACTCCCAATGATACGTAGTAGTTTCTAAATAAGAGTAGTTGAAGTCCACACTCTGCACAATTCTAAAGAAATAAGAGGAAATCTTTACAGGATCCTATTTTTAAAAAATTAAACATGCAACAACAAAAAAAATCCTAAGAATGAGAGAATAATGGAGACCAGAATAAAATAAAATAAAGGTATTCTAGAAGGTGATGGCCTCATTTTGCAAGGTGTCTGGAATTTACAAAAGATAAACTCTTTGCAAAGAGCATGGCACATTCACAGTTTCGCTTTAAGCATGTGTAGAAAATTGACTCGACCCTGCCTAGAACTCCTTTCTTACAGGCCTCAGAAAAGATGCACGCGTGCAACTTGAATCACAAAAAAAAGAAGGAAGTGAACAAGCTGATGTCCCTTCTTTAGTTACGAATGCCTACTATATCAGGCCTGACACAGGAAGCAGCTCGTGTTGAGTGTCTTCTGTTTGAAAAAGACATTAAGGAATATAACAGTTTCACCAGAAAAGACTGAATATATCAAAACATACATATAGAGCAGTATAAAACCTGTGGCTATACACTTAATTTACAGGATGAAAACCTAATGTCTTTTTCAAGAAAAAACAACCATAGAAACTAAATATTTTGAAGAATTCCTATCTGCTTCTTTGTACTTGCTGCACCCCCCAGAAAAAATTAAGGCAAATAATATACAATAATTAGGTATTGAGGAAGGAAACAAAACACTTCAATCAAGAAGCTGAAAATCTTGAAAGCCTGACGCATTCGACCTTCATTCATGACATTCTAGTAAATATTTTAGGTGCATATTAACTGTTCATTAGAAACACTGTTACCCCACCCAGCCCATCTCACAAGGATGGCATTTAAGTTCATGGAAAGATCATATGTTCAGTCAATGTCAAATCAACCAGGATCTCTTGAAAACAGACTGTACAACTCAACACAGACACACCTACAGAAAGCAAACAAGAAAACCCCCACAAAAAAGACAGGCTTCAACCACCACGTGTGTACTTACGGCTTCATGCTGAAAATATCTTTAAAACCTGACACATTTGTGTCTTTGTTTTTATGTTTTTCAGCTACAAACTTCTCTTTAGTCCAGGTCATTTGCACTTTTTCTGGCATGGCAGCAGCCACACTTGCTTTGACAGCTGGAGCTGAGCGTGAGGCTGTGTTTCTGTCATGGATCAACTGAGCCTGGCCACACACAGAAAAAAAATAAGATTGTAGGTTACAGGTTATTAATTCTTGAAATGCAATTTCACTGCAATGTAGCAAAAGAAGAAAAAAAAGAGTTTTTTGAGAACAAATACGAGACAAACATCAGTGTTTTGACACTGGCATGAAAGGAAATTGCTTGTAGAAGTCCAGTTATTTATCTATGCAGGTGAACTTCAGGCTGGGATGTGATTTTTACAACATACTGAATAGTCTGAATCCAGTTGGAGGTTAGTCATTAGGACAATGCACTATCAGTTATTTTTAACTTGCTCTGACACTGTTATAAACACTGTAGTTTCCATCAAAAACAGAACAAGTTCACTACCTTAGACTCTTACAGTTTGAATGAACGGGCATTAGGGGAGCAGTGATTGGTTTTGTGGTGTTTTTCTTGGTTGGAGTTTTTATTTTGCTTATTTTTAAAGTTTTAATAGTTTTGAACTCTCCACAGCGACTTGTCAAATCATGAACTGAGTCCTCTATTCTATTCAAGAGCTTCACGTGTTCACTTTGATCCCTCCATACACGTGACAACTCAGGAGAATTTATTTCCTTCAGTCACAACGACATGAATAAAATGAAGGCAAATAAGAGAACTGTTTTCCATCTCTAAATACTGATTCCCCCAGTGGTTCTTGGTTTGTAATTTCAGCTGTTTTTAACAGTCTAAAAGCTCCTAAGTTTTTCCTAAATTATTTCTCTAGTTCCTAGTCTAACCTCGAGGATTCCTAAATCCTAGAGTTCAATTCTGTGGTTCACATATAAACACCACTTGTTTGATAGTCTTCATATCTCGCAGAAGACTGATGATGAGTCAAGTCTACCAATCACAAGTTACTGTGAATAACTTGTGAATAAAGCAGCAATTCTTGCAACAGAACAAGTTAACAAATTCATGCAGATTCATGCTGCAGAGCAGTAACCAACGTGCTAAAACTAAAAGCTGTGAGGTGAGTTCAACTGTGCTTTAATAGAAGCTAGAGATGGGCCCAAGAAAAAATCTGGACCTATAGCAAATATTCATAAAACTGCATATATAAAAAAGGCACATTTTTTCAGTGCTACTTTGTAGCCAAATTAATTATATAGAATAAAGCATTCTTCTCACACTTCAAGAAGGGAAACAAAGGAATGCACCACTTCTACAAACTAGGCACTGAATCTACCCAGATAAGCAACACTTGAAGTGCACACTAAAAGCATTAATTACAGCAGTCCATTTAATTTCAAACTCTCTATGTAGAAAAGTAGTTGTGACTCTTATGGAGTAACAGTTGCATATCAATATGCAAAGAAGCCTTTTCTACTTACAAAAATCCTAATACATCTATACAGACTTAGAAAATTCAGCACTTCGGTACAGCAACTATAAAGAAAAACAATGCTTTGAAAGCATGAAATATTAATCTAACACCCACTATTAACATTTTTAAGAGAAGAAACAAATATTTATGCTTTTAACAAAAACATGCTCTCAGATAACAAATATTTCTTTTATGGAAACTAATAGTGACCAAATAAAGATGTCATTACTGTCATAAACATCATCTAGAGAAAGAAGGTACAGTTAAGAGAGTACTAAAAGTTTATGAAGGACTGCTTAGAGGGCAATGAAAGGAACTTGTTCATTGCTAGTCTGGTTTGCAACAGTGGCACTTCAAGCGTTGCAATGGAAAAACCTACAGAGTGCTACTTCTAGCTACCTCCTCCTTTTCATAATCATTATTCAGCAGTGCCTGTACATCTTGGCCAATGGATTGTGGACTAGAGCAGCTTTTTCTTCTGACAGAACCTCGAGATTCATCAGTGATGCTCTGAATCTGGGACAAAAAGGTTACCAGTGACAAAAAAAGAGCCCAAGATAAGATGACTGTATCATTCAAAATAAAAATTGCCTTTATTTAAACAGCCCTTAGGTTGTTATAAACTTGGTTTGTTTTCACAAGCATGATATTTGTTATACACATTATTTATTGTGGGGTTCTTTTCATAACTAACTGCTAACAGTTTCAAAGTCTCTACACAGAGATTTTGTAAATCGTGATATTAAATCCTTTTGTCTGTATGAGTACCTCAAGTACACATGCATGCAAGTCTCATCCTTTCTTACATACCATGATTCAGATGAACAGGTTTCATTCACTCACAATCAAAACATGGACAAAACATAAACAGATGAAAAAACTGCTTTTCAGCTCTAAATATTGATTCATTCCCCAACAGTTCACTAACTATAATTTCCCCACGTTTCTCTCAATCTTACCTAGCAGCCACAATCTACAGAGCACCAATTACAACAGTTCAATACAATTCAATTCAATACAATGCGGAGCTGTGATGGATGACTTCTTTTTCACAGCTTCAACATAACTGCTACCTGGCCCAACAGTTAGGACTAGTCACAGAAGGAAGACAACTGCAATCAAGCAAAGTAGCAACAAAGTGAATCTGCTTCTACAGTTTCTTTCATATTTGCAGAAATATTATCAAACTGAATAAATGTCTGGCACATGGGCCTAAGTCTGCAGATCTTAAGCTCTGTAGGCATTTGTTGCGTTTACACTTATAGAAGAAAGCTTGCTCAAAACTAATTAGAAAAGAGCAAACAAAAGGAAGAAGTGCCCTGTGCTCCAAATCCACAAGAAAACCCAGCCATCACAGGGTCAAGACCAAACAAAGCTCCTTTAAAAACAAGTGAGAAAAAAAGGAGAGGGGCAAGAGTGATCACTCAGATATAGGAACAGGCCTACGTGAAAAACAGCAAAAGAACACTGTTCAACAAGTTCTCTCTTTGTATAGGTTTAAACCTGGTCTGAAGATGTACAAACACAAAAAAAAAAAAACAGATAAAATATTAATTTTGTTGGTAACAAGAAACAATAGAACTACATGTACTACTGAAAAAGCTGGAACATTACTGCAGTGCTGAGGGAAATGGGCTTGTTGAGCTTGGAGAAGAGAAGGCTGTGGGAGACCTCATGGTGGCCTTCCAGTGCTTGGAGGGAGCGTAGAAACAGGAGGGGGAACGGCTGTTTGTGAGGGTGGATGGTGATAGGACAAGGGGAATGGTTTAAACTGAGACAGGGGAGGTTTAGGTTGGATATGAGGAGGAAGTTTTTCCCCCAGAGGTGGTGAGGCACTGGAACAGGCTGCCCAAGGAGGCTGTGGATGCCCCATCCCTGCAGGCATTCAAGGCCAGGCTGGATGTGGCTCTGGGCAGCCTGGGCTGCTGGTTGGTGACCTGCACACAGCAGGGGGCTGGAGCTGGGTGAGCATGGAGCTCCTTTGCAACCCAGGCCATTCTATGATTCTATGATACTAAAGAGAAAACTATTTTAGAGACTATCATTAAACTTGAGCAAGGCTCAAGTTTTCCTAATCAGAAACAACAGATGAATTAGTTTTTATTATCATTCCTGAATAAAGACTTCACGGGAGAGCAAATAATACTGGTTGTTGAAATTACCAAGATACGAAGGAAGAAACTGAAACTGTAATGGTGATGGTTACATTCAGACAGAAATGAGTAATAAAAACAATGGAGAACAGGGTAGAGGAGGAGGACAGAACAAAGGATTGAAAGATTTCAGGTGACCACCACTCTGGAATAGTGCAGATTCCAACTAAATCACAGTGCCAAGGAAGTCTTTTGTCTCCACTACAAATTTATAAGCTGTAGATTATAGAGCCCTGCAGTATCCTTAGGTTGCCTGTAGTTTTCATAAAGAAATTAAATCCTAGAGCCTGCTGTAGATTGATTAATCACTCAACTTCACTGGAAAATTGTTTGTGTGGTCAGTAATTCAAAGCAAGGAATGACTAAGATTAAAAATTGTTTACTAAAGAAATACAGGAGAGGTCTTTTTCACTAAAAAGGCATTACATAGGCTCAGTCCAAAAGAGAACCAATAAAGAAAGGAGAATTTATGGCCATGTATTAACATAGCATTACAAGGCACCTTTAGGAAATCCTACAAATAGGAATAGAATAAATAAGGATAAAAATAAAGGAAGTGCACAGACATTACGAATTAACACAAAAAAAACCCCTAAGCTGTAAAATAAGCTACAATTTTTATTGGACAAAAAAAAAAATCTAGTTATTTCATAAATGAGCAGCTTAACACAATAAAGATGTTTTCTTTAGCACAGGACAGAAAACACCACAAATGACAGAAATGCCAAAATATTTAGTAACTTTTATACCACTAAAAAGTGTTAGCAGTGGTTAATAGAATAAATGAATGGATGGTAATCAAAAGAGAAAAAGGATCATATTTTAAAAACTTACAAGTACTGGGGAAAACACAATTGCATGAAGCTAGTTACTACAGAATGCAAAACATCACTACAAACTAGTAAGAGCAGGAGAAGAGCAAACATGTAGGATTATAGTTAGTGTTCTGCTAACAAAGACACAAAACTGCTCCTGACAGGTACTTGGCAACACCAGGTACTCACAGATAGGCCAATAGACACATACAGAAAAAGCATCGAGCTCACCCGACTGGTGAAGGGCGGCTCTCTGACTACACAGCATTCTTAGAAAGCTAGGTCCAACAGAGGGTCCTCTCCCTCTTGTAGCTGGCCCTTACATGAGCACAAGGTGCCTCCGCTCTGGTTCTCTCCTGTCACAGGAACACACTACAAACAGTCTGCCTGTGCTCCCTGGGCCAGACAAACCCTTTCACCAGGTGCTCAGTCACCAGTTCAAGCCACAACCTAACCGTGTCCTAAGATACTCAGCCTAATTTTGGCTCCAGGAAGTAAGCTAAACAAAAAAGCTAATTGGTCCAGTTAAACAATCATATCTCATTATTAGCATTATTTATCTCAATCTTGGAAGTGTTCCAGATGTTCTACACACTGCCACTCAAATACCTGCACTAAGCTTAACAAAATGAACTGGAAAACTCTAGAAACTTTTATCCAAATGCAAAAGGAGTTATGTTTAAGATTCTTTTATTCTTGTAAGTGAAACCTGCTGCAGAGAAAGTAAGATAGAATGCAGCTATAAAAGCTGGTTAGAAACAGATTAAAATCTTGGATTAAAAACAACAAAATAATTTTTAGATTTTTCACAGAACATCTTGCCAAGTTAGAAGTTCCTACCTCTCTTTCCCTTTCATTTTTTGATAGCTGCATCTGTTTTAGCATCTGGGATCGCTGTTCCATCATTAGTGTCTTCTCATATGTGAATGCAGAAATATCATTTTCAAACTGCAAAAATGATTGACATAAGAAGAATATCAGAAGTACTACTCAAAAAAAAAAAAAAAAAAAAAAGCAATTAAAAACATTTAGACACTTGTACCCCACTTATTCTTGCATTCATTGAACCCTGGATTCATGAATGGCTTTAGAGTAATCCCAAGAGTATATTTCATTGATCATTTCTGTTACCTGAAGATTAAGCTTTAAGAATGAAGACAATCTTTTACCATTAACTATTATACAATACTAACAGCAATGCAGTATCAGCTGAATTTGAGATTCACATGACAGACTTTCCACTGTTCTGTTCCAATATACCTACAGAAGCAGGTAAGGTAGAAGCTGTTCGTTTAAACTACCTGCACTGCAGACTCCAGAGGATGTTTGCATAATGGTGTCTTTGAAAACAGTCTAGAGCTACAACATAACACACTGTCCTTTCTCCAGTGAGAACTGTTCAAAAAGAAGCACTAATGAAGCAACTTCAGCATATATCCCACCTGGAGTCCAGCTCTGGGGCCCATAACACAGTAAGCACAACAAGCTGTTGGAGCGGGTCCAGAGGAGGGCCATGAAGATGAGGGCTGAAGCACCTTCCCTGTGAGGACAGGACGAGGGAGGTGGGGCTCTTTAGCCTAGAGAAGGCTTCAGAGGACCTTATGGCAGCCTTCCAGTACCTGAAGAGGGCCTACAGGAAAGCCGAGGAGGGACTTGTTCTAAGGGCACGTAGTCACAGGACAAGGGGAAATGGCTTTAAACTGGAAGAGGGTAGATTTAGACCAGATATTAGGAAGAAATTCTTTGCTGTGAGGGTGGTGAGACACTGGAGATGCTGTGGATGCCCCTACCCTCTGTTCAAGGCCAGACTGGACACGGCTTTGTGCAACCTGGTTAATGGATGTCCTGACCTACAGCAGGGGGATTGGGGCTACATGATCTTAAAGGGCCCTTTCAATCCAAGCCATTCTGTGATTCTCAGATCTAAATCTAAAATACAACCTAGAGCTCTTACCAATGTCACTGACATTTAAAGTATTTCTTATAATTTGGAAGATTCCTGTGCTTAAATATAGGCAAGATAAGAAAGAAATACATTGTGCTTCCTATATGTGCTTCCCATCTGCTTTAAATGTAACTAAGGGAGTCTTTTAATGGCACTCAATCTTTCAAGCTTCTTTCACCTGTGCATGCCACACTTATTTATGTTAAGTGATTCTTGTCACAGTCTATATATGTTTTATGGCATGATGAACATTTTTGAGAGGTACGCGGCTCAAAAAGCTCCTAAGAACACCAGGTCCTGGGAGGAGCAACTCACTCCCACAACCCCTTCACTACACTTCAGATGAGGGCGTAGAAGATATGTTTAGTCTTAGCAATGGAAATGAAATCACACTTCTCCTTATTTGCCAGATGAGTGTGCAGGTTACAGCTTTACCTCTTTCTTTTTATCAGGTTATAACCAGTGTTTAAAAAAGAAAAAAGGAAGTTATGAAATTCAATTTGTTACCATTTGAACTGTGAATCCATATCTATGTAGTCTTGTTGTTCATTGCCAAAGAGACTGGCAGTGACACAGAAGCCAGAGATTTTTTATTCTAGAGATATATTTGTACATCAGCTGGAGAAACGTATGTTAGCACGTCAACAATTACTAGCAATTCAGGCTTTTGCCTTCTTGAATGAACTCTTATCTACAGACCAATCTTCATAAAGTAAGTAGTAATGCATATCAAAATTACCTCTAATTGACACACCATTAAACTCACTACCACATCTGGCATTGCAGCATGGTATGATAGCACTGTGTTATGAAACAACTTCTTTTTCTTGGTGGGACTGAAGTCTTGCATTTCTTGCAGCACTGTATTTGGGCTAACATGCTCGGTTTCCAAGTTTAGTCCTAATTTCAGCTTAAAAAAAAATGTAGTAACATACCATTTCAACAACTTCCACTTCAGCATTGAGGCGAAGATGGTACAAGAACATCTGAAGATCTTTCTTCATTTGGATGCTGTTATCATCCATTTGAGCAACCGTGAAGATACGCATCTTACATTTTCTCCAAACCTAGCCAAAAATAATTTATTTTTATCTGTTCATATTACAATGATTGCAGACTCTGAGCATATTTCATTGGAGAGCTTTATGAAGACCTGCTATAAGAAAATGGAATCCAAGCTGTTTCTTATTGTACTTGCCTTGTGTTGACGAAGAAGAAAAGGCAGCAACATCAACATTCCACCATCATGAACAATCCACCAGATGTCTATGTTTCCTTCAGTAAAACGTTCTTGATTTGTTGGAAACAAGTCGATGTTTTTAGCCACCAATAAAGCTTGCTGAGCTGCTGTTGTTTCTCGTACAGTGTCTGCAGGGGAAAATAAGACATTTGATCAAGAACTTCTAGTTTTCATTCACAATGTTTGTTTTAAATTCAAAAGCTTAAATCCACCTGAGTTTAGTGACTAATCTGCTTAAGAGGAAAAGAGAAATCAATAGTTAAAGAGACTGAGGACTGAGAAAACCCACTCCACATAAGTCAGAATTCAGGAAGTACTGAATGTCAACTGGATATTCATCTTCACATCTTTTTTCCCCCGCACAGGAAATCAGTCATACATCAGTCATATAGTTGTCTTACAATCATGTAAGAGAAAATAAAAAACAAATACCAACAAAATTTTTCCAAGAGAAGTGATTTTCTGTCTGCTTCCAGGACTGTGGCCATGCCATCAAAACTGTATTGTGTTTCATTCCTCCTAGGCCAGCTGACTGAATTAAATGTGATATTCCATCTCTGAAACTAGGAGATACCACAATCTGGCAAAATCCTTTAGTCTTTTCGACTCCCATTAAAGCTTTAACATTCTGTGGAAAAGGAAGATTACACATGAGGAAATACAGTCATCAACACAGATAGTAAATACCATGAAGAGTAACAGCAAATATAAGCAAAACGTTAGATACTAACGTACAACCAACAAGATGCTACTCTAATTCCCTAGCAGTGAACTGATCCTACAATTAAAGCCTCAAATAACACTACATAAGACACCAGAGGGTTTTCATTTGTTATTAGTCTTTCTCTTCCAAAGAAGATATGAATAAAAACACATTGACAAAGCTTTATTTATTTATTTATAAAGCTAATAAACATTGCTTCTGGTGAAGCCAAAACTTTATTGATTGATAAAAAAAACATTTTTATGGGATGATAGATCCTTTCCTTTGGAATCGGAAGGGTTTGGGAAATGGGATGCCAAAGACTTCAGGAGTCCTTGAGAGCTCTGATACTGAGAGGCTGATTCTGTATTTATCCGCTCCCAATATGGAAAAAAGAGATGTGCAGACAATCAGAATCACTGGCTGAATAATGACAAAAACTGACTATATTTAAATCCTATAGCCCTTGATTTCAGTATGGCTCTCCTTCATTTAAACACTGACATAGACACATAACCAAACAGTTTGTAAACACCATTCAAAACAGTATCAAGGTTGAGCAGGAAAAAACAGTTTTGGCATTACCCACGCTCCCCAACAGCATGACTTTGAAAATCCCATCATTAATGATTTGCATGGAAGTTCAGCACAGTTTCCAAAGAAAACACCGAACCAACAAAACTTGGAATTTTGGCAAGCATCAAAATACTCAAAATTTGTTGTTGTTTGTTTTTTAGGGAAATCATTCAGAGGTTCAAAGGAATAGATTTTTGGGTTCACAAAATAACAACCAGCAGATGCAATAGCACTAAAACATTCCTATATTCTTTGAGCTGAAGCAGCTTGTAAAACAGATTGAATCACTAGGTTTGCTCACTGGCTTGGATGTTTTGTCAGAAACTAAGAATGCTGAGAACTATCAATTCTGCTCTGCATTTGACCAGACCATTACCATGCAGTTCACTCTGACCACAGTCTCCTCAAAAAGGTTATCCCTAACTTACCATCTTGTTTCTGTTTTATTCTCAACGAAGGAGAGCTTAATCCTAACAACTCCTGACCCCTTCATACTCCTCATTTCATAGCTGCAAACTCGTAACTGTCTCACTGTGTAAAAGTTCTCATCCAGTTCCCTGTGTGCTGTTCTTTAAGCATATCTCCATCTCTCCTTCCCCATGACAACTGGAGGCCAGAAGGCCAGACAAAAGAACTGTTGTTTAAAAAGCAAGACAATTATCTGCTCTTAGGTCCTATGCCTGACCACACAAAGACTCCCACTCAAAAAGTGCAATTCCAAGAGAACCCTATAAAACACCAGTAGGGAGACATTTGATTACAGAACGCCTCGTGCAAGCTTAGTGTGTTTCACATGAGAAATTTTGTTCTATATAGAAAAAAATCTCCAAAGAAATCGAAAGTAAAGCTAACAAATCTGCCTGTCCAAACAGTATTTCTAGGGCTGGATCAGTTCAAATGCTTGGCTTTTCTCATTTTTCTTGAAAAAGAAAAAAAAATGGTTTTCCACAAGTCTTCTAGAAACACTATTTTCTAGCAGAAAATTTCCAAAAATCAGCAAGCCCTTCAGACACTCCGTCCTTTGAAATGTCTTCAATTCTATCTTAAAAGCAACAGCTGACTTCGACACCAGCAGGTCTAACTTCTCAGAGGATCAGGGGGATTAGGTTTCCCTTAAATTCATTTCCAGCTCTTGGATCTATTTTTGAGATATCAGGTCTGAATAATTCACAGGAATCTTTACATAGAGTTGAAAAATTCTTCAATCGAAACAGCAGACATTTCAACTGATTCTCATTTCCATTAACCATTCTGAAAGACATAACAGCTAAAGCCTACATGGTATTTTCTAAAAATGTTTCACTGTGCTCTGTAAGGAGTAGGAGAGCTGTGCATAGATAAGCAACTGTATATCCATATCATTACCAAAGCATCAACACTGGAACTACTGGGGTGTACAAAGTAGTAAACAAGTTGATTGAGATAGAACAGGAATGCACACTTGCTTGGCACTGAAAATCAAAGTTGATCAGTGGATTCTGAAACAGATCTTCAGAATTTCTGTATTAATTTCCAGTTTTCATTCCAGTGACAGATTTGAGATCTTGGAGTTCAGATGTTTTTAGGTTTCTTCCACATAGTTGAAATTATGCCAACATCTGCATTTCTTAAATGAATAAATCAATTTTCTTATGAAGTGTTTTTTTAGAAATATATCACCCAGATTTTACAAGAATATAAAATAAATTGAGCCCGTCTGGCCCTCAATGCTGAGAAAAATTAAGCAGCATCAGTATTGACTCGTTGGGAAATTCTGAAAGACATTTTGTTACAGTAGAGCAAACTTTTTAATTTAAATACACAAACAAATCAATCAAAACATTTTTATAAAAGGCTTTTTTTTAAACTGTACCTGAATTCAAGATATCAGATTCAATATTTAAATACTAATAGAATTTACAGAAGGCTTGTAAGCTGACTTTTACACACCTCTTCGGCTTTCTGAGTTTCTACACATCTATCCAAGTAGGTTCCTTGAAGCACAGATCCCACAATAGTCAGCCCTTTACCAGCTTTCAGCTGAGAAGTGAAAGAAAGCAATCGCGGATGCTTCACCAACTGTTCGCAATCCAAATTTAACAAGACCAAAAGTTGGGGTCTGCCAAAAAAAAAAAATTACATGTGATGCATACATACACAGAAGTGGTAAAGAACTGAAAAAATAGAATTAACAGGTAATAAAGTGCAGATTTAGTGCTTAATGCAAAAGCATCAACATCAAGTAAGAAAAAAAATCACAATGAGCAGTGGCTGCCACAATCCAGGTACATGAGTAACCTGAAAAAAATCCAAACCAAACCAGTACCACCAAGAAAATTGTTGAAGCCGAATTATCACCCCCTGGAGGTTTTCTAGTGCAACCTGCTGCTTGAAGCAGTTAAATACTGAATTGTACTCCAGAGTGTTTAGGTCTTGGTCCCGTTGGATCTTGAAAACTTTCATGGCAGAGATTCTACCACCTCTTCCCATTGTATCGCTTTCTCTTATTCTCACACCATACAGTGCTGTAAAGGATCTTGCTCCACAACATCTCCTGGGGACTGGATATGTATAGCTATTTATACTAGCTTTTAGGTTCCACTTAAGCCTCCTTCAAGCTGTGTAAGACGAGTTGCCCCAACCTTTCCTTTCAAGGGATGTGCTCCAGTGCCCCAACCATCCTGTTAGTACTCTGCTGAACATGTCACAGCTTACTGATGTCTGGTTGATGCTGGGGTGCCTAAAATGGGGTGAAATATTCCACATTACTCTGAAGAGTGCTGAGTAAAGAGGAATATTTACTTATGCCAAGTCATACTGATTGTTTACTGCTCACTGGAAACAACAGATCCTTTTGCATCATTCCCATGCTGTACCACTGCACTAGGAAAAGATGTCCCATGGACATGACTTTGAACTTGTCCTGGATTTTCATGATGTTCACGTTGACTCATTCCTACACCTGACTAGGTCCTTCCTAAAGATAGTCATACCCTTGACTGCACTGATAGCACCACAAGTTCAATTTAGCCTCCATGCTAAATGTGTTTGCATTCCGTTTCCTTTATTCAATATATAGTATATAGAGTATAATTTGCATACTTTCCCCAAACTGAATCTAGGATTTTCCTCTAATTACCAAAAGTTCAAAAGAGCTGCAAGAGAAATTGAACGTACTTCCCTCCTCAACATCAGATTTTAATACGGAAGAAAGTCTTGTTCTTAACAAAACAAGAGAATAAGTCATCTGGAACTGAAGTGATGGCAGACATTTAATGGAAGCATTGTCACGTTGCACTAATGGTTGTCAGTGCTTGTCAGTTCACACAAAGTATAAAGACTAGTGGCTCACACATAGAAGCTGCTCATGTTTAACAGCTCCACAACTAAAGATAAAATAATACTGCTGCACTGAAGGGCAGAAGACCATTGCTTCCACAGGGGTGAAATCACAACTTGTGATAGTTTCTTTTTTCGTGTGTTTCACTGATTAAAGAGTTAATTTTTGCTGCATAAATTAAGAGTGACAATGTGTAAAAATGCATTTGTTTTTAAACCTTAAGTCATTCTTTGTGTTGAAATTGATAGTTTAACAAGTAAAAGGAATTAACTGGAAAAATAGCAATGGGCACTTACTCCCATTAGATACAAAAAAGCTCCAAATGTAAAATTTTGTGTTAATGAGACCTAACCACTCTCAGAAGTGCTGCTATTAAATGAAATCTGCCTTACATTATAATAGGTATTAAAAAGAAGTTCTGATACAAGTTGCAGCTTGTTAAGTCCCTTAATGGACAACCTTGCAGCTTGTTCAGATAATGGGAAGGGTCTGTCTTTGTACTGAACAAATAAGGGAGGCTCAACGACTTTGTATGGAATGTGTACGTACATCTGGGAAGACCTCTGCATGTATATAAATTGAAGACCTTTTTGTGCAAGGTACATGCGATAGGAGGACAGTATCCCATGCATCCAGCACTGGCATTAAAGAATGCCTACTTTCTAACACTCCATAGTGAGTCTCAGAGAGTTTCTTGATTGATCACTTTACAGTAACAGCAGTTCTAGAAATAATGATTCCTCTGTAAGTTTTCACAACACATTTCTGTTGAGGTTTAACCTGGCAGGCAGCTAAGCACCACACAGTTCCCCTCCAAATGGGACAAGGGACAGAACAGGAAACAAAACAGAACTTGTTGGTTGAGATAAACTAAGATAGAAAAAGGGAAACAGAAATAAAAATGTGATGATAACAATACACATATATATATATATATATACATATATATATATATATATCCACAATGAAATTACTCACCAACCCACTGAACAACACCTAGCTAACAATACTCACCACTGTCACCCCTCTAACAAAGCAAAATCTCACCACCCTTTGAACTATGCCCAGTTAATCCTACACAGGGACCTGGCCTGCTTCCCACAGCTTTACAGCCTTCCCTATGAGGCCACATGGTATGGAATAGCCTCTTAACTAACTCAGGCCAGGTGTCCTCAGGCTAGTTCTGCTGCACACCATAAAGGCATTAGCTCTTCCCTGCCAAGTGACCTGGTCTGGCTGCAGACATGCATCCATTACTCAGCAATACCCAAAACAGTGCTGTGCTATTAACACTGTTTCAGTTGAAACCAGGACATTTTCACAGGGAATGACATATAAAAGCAAAAGAGCCTTATGCACTTGCAGCACATGTTTTTCACAGATACTCTAGAATCAAAGGTAACTTGCTTTGAATCTGGAAACCTCTAATTAAACTATATTCTGCATTTTAGAAAGCCATGTCAACAATGCATGGATGTCAGTTCAATTTTATCCATGTAATCAGCAATCTGCAAGGCTGATTACGTGCTACTCATAAATAATATTCCTTTACAGTGAAATTACAGAATTGTAACTATATCTATTCCACACTCAAGTTAAAACATGAATTTAATGTTGACTTTCACTTTGGTCATTAGCATTACCAGTAGTGTTCCCAATAGCTTCAGCCTTATGTGTGAATTATGTGTAAACTCAGAAGGCACAGGACTTTTACCTCCAGTTTTTGGTGTGAGGAGGACCATCTTCAACACGAAGCAAAGCATAGCGAGCTGCATTCAAAGAGAGTCCTCGTATTCCATCACCCCACTCTTTTTCCGCTCTTTGGAATGCAGAAGAGATTTAATTAACATGGTGCAGTTTATTTATACAAATTAAGAATATTTTCCCAGGTGAAAGGTAAGAAGTATCAAAAATAAGTTGTGTCTCCCCCCTCTTTTTTTTTTTTTAAACATGAAGGCTTAACAAAAATCTCATACTGCAGATTTATATCCCAGGTCCTTTCAAGAAATCTGTTTATAATATTTTTAAATATTCTGGTTTATGTTATACATAAAAGGTTTTTGTTTGTAATAATGGGAGCCTCCTAAGTTGCTTTCAAGCATTAGAATAAGCAAGATTTTACTTCCTATGTATTAGTGTTCTACCTTCTCCCCATATCCCTACTACCTTCTCTATTTCCTTTCTTTCTCAACTCCTTCCAGAGAAACTTAGATCTTCATCCTTCTTCCCCAAACACTTTCCACCTCTACATTTTTGATTTCTCTTCATCCCAATGCAAAACTATTCCAGGTGACAAAGGACAGAAATGTTAGGCTAATGCTGCAATTACACTCTTTTATGGAAATGCTAATTTGGCTAGATCAATCTTCCTTCTCCCTCCTTTCCTCTTTCTCTGCCCCACTCCATTTCTCATCTCACCATGCCTCCCTGTTTCCTTTCATGAATTTTCACCTTCCTTTGTTATTTCTAGACCTCTTTCAAAATTTAGGTACTGAAAGTCAAAATTTACCTTAGAGAACAAGGTGGCAACTATAATGTGCACTGACAGATAGACAGAAAGTTTCTTTTACTCAGTTACCCAAAAATTAAAACTTTTTTTTTCCTAGGTAACAGTTTTTAGGATGCTTCAAGGTCTATTCCCCCTCACTCCTCCCACAAAAATCAGACTCTGCATTTATAAAGACAGAGACTGAGTTTGAGCAAAATAGAATATTTCCAGAGGGTACATGCAGCAGCCACCTTTCAAAATTTCTAGAGTCTGTGCTTGAATATGGATGTATGTACAATGTTAATGAATATACCAATGAATATACCAATATGAATATACCAATAGACACACATCAGCAGAACTGATCATTTCATTGGACAAGGTAAAACAGACAAGAGAAATTTCCTGTTGAATCTAATAACAAGGAGCTGTTAGGAGGGCTGCTTCAAAAGTAACACCTCCTTTTTGTTACATCGGTCCACAATGTGAGAAGCTAATGGATATTGGTGGTATGGCAGCAGAGTCTGAACCTTCCCTGAGTATTCTGTTACATTCTGTTGTTGTGCAACAGATTGCAGCAGAGGGGAAGTCTGACAAAATGACATCTGATGTAGATGAGCATATGAATCAAATGTGTGGAATTGAATTTCTCCATGCAGAAAAACTTGCACTCACTGACATTCCTTAATTCTTGCAGATGTTTATGAAGACCAAATACTGGATGTCAGCACACTGAGGTGCTGAATGGTACATTTCAGCAGTGATGGCAATGATATGAAAGACAAACCATGTTCCAGGTAGCCACACAGATTTTTACGAGCATGGCATGCAGGCTCTTGTTCACTGCTGGCAAAAATACATAACTAGTGGTAGTGACTACATTGAAATAGGGTATTTTGTAGCTGAGAATTTGCTTTATCAAATAGTGTCATTGTGCTCTTTTTATCTGTTGTAGTTTTCATAGAAATAAATAGGAGGCATTACTTTCAGAGTGACCTATGTACAATCCAGGAAAATCCTATCCAGGAGAACATTTATTCTGCAGATAGTGATATGAAAAGATGGAGAATCTACAATATGGAGTAGTTTACATCAGTTGATCTACAAACATTTGTGCTTCATTACTTATCAAAATACCTAGACTCATTTCAGTTTTCTGGTCTTGGTCTTTTTCTTGGCTAGCATCTTTTGTCACCAGATGTCTTTTCCTTGGAAATGGAAAATGTACACACTGATCAAGATTGCCTCTAAATTTTATGTATGTGTTTATTTAATGAATTGAATATGCTCTTTAACTCCCCTACCTCCCTGCATTTCTGACAGGTGTGGCTCTAAAAGTATATTGCAAGTTAAAGATTATCTAGGCATTAAAAAATAAATCATTTTCAGTGGGTGTTCTGGCTTCTTAAGTGTTTTTTTTTGATCCATTCTAAAAAGTGCTGAAGTTGACACAAAAGAGCAGAGTTTTACCACTTTCACAGAAGTTCACTATATTTTTGTATTAGTTGCTGCTTGGTGCCAAAAGATGATCACAGAATCACAGAAGAGGTTGGAAGGGACCTCAAGAGATCATTGAATCCAACCCCCCTGCTAAAGCAGGTAGCCTATAGTAAGTTGCAAACATAGGCACCTAGACAGATCTGAATAAGGTCCTTCCATAGAAGGAGAGTCCACAAATCTCTTGGCAACCTGTTCCATGCTCCATTCTTCCACATGCTTACATGGAACTTACTACGTTCACGTTTTAGGCCATTGCTCTTCATCCTATCACTGCACACCACTGAAAAGAGCCTGGCCTCATCCACTTGCTGCCCATCTCCCTGTAGATGTTAATAAATATTAATCAGATCCCCTCTCAGTCTTTCTCTCCCCAGGCTGAACAGACCCAGGTTACTCAGCCTTTCATCGAAAGGGAGATGCTCCCTGAATCATCTTTGCAGCCCTCTGCTGGATTCCTTCTAGGAGTTCCCTGTCTTTTTTGAACTGGGGAGCCCAGAACTGTGATGTACCTCTACTACCGAATTAAACACCACAATATTTGTTTAAATTAATATTTTCCAGGTATATTGCTTCTTATTTTGATTAGTTATATTTGCTGAGTGTTTTGGAACTGAGCTTCCAGAGAAGTAAGAATTTTCAGACTTGTAACCTTTAATGTAGATGGAATCTTACCTTGTTTCAAAGAATATTCTTAGTTCTATTGCTTCAGTTGTACCTATTTTATATAACAAAAATCTTTTTGCTGAATATTAAATATATTAAATATAGAATAAATAAGATATTTGGTCTTACCCTCTATATTCTATGTATTTGTATATACATCCTGCGATTAGCATGGCAATCAAAGCATAGTACCAAGAGCAAATGAACATCAAGGCAAGACATAAACTCATTCCCAGGAATGAAAGAGTCCTAAAAGAAACCATTTTTTCCATTTTTTAAATAGGCATGCATATATTCTACAGTCAATTTCTTACTTAACTCCCCAGAAGACCTCTCCTTACCTTCCAATGTGAATTCATAGGTAAATATAAGTAAAAATACACCTTCACAACTTTAGTTTATAAAAAATTACATTCTGAAGTCTTTTGTGTGAAACAAATGCAATTGAACTACACATAACAAATTTAATACACTTGTCAGTTCTGAAACTCTTACCATTTCCTCCAAGTAGGATCAGTTTCAAATTATTTTGTCATCACTTACTATGGATTGGTTGAAATTTCTCAAGCAATCCGAAGGACATTATGTTACTTGGAGCAAAAACAGTTGATTAATTTAAATTAATTTTGACTCACAAATTATTTTTCCACCTACATTGTGATACGTCTCTTGCTTAAGGCTTGTCTTTCAAAGGCTCTCAAGAATGACTGAGCTAGAAAAGTCATAGAAGCATGTCCAGACTGAAGTTTATGTGCCTGCTTTGCTTCCACTATAATTCAGACAGATGTAGCTCAGCTCAGAACCAGGCAGTTTTCTGGTTACATTTAGTTAGATGCTTGAATTTCAAACACCTGCTTTCAAAGTCAGAACTTGCTTTCGCTGTACTGACAAGGAAGGCAGAAACAACATTTTTTTTTGTTCCTTTAGTTTGCTTTTTTATTATCATGCAAGTACTGAGACCAAATGCATCCAGTTTCATTTCAAAGAAATGCTGTCTTCTTTTCTGAGTACATCAGTCTAAATATATTTTTCAGCTGCTCTTTCATAATTTCAGCCAACTGAAGATACTGGTTTCACTTAAAAAATTGTCCCATCCCACTTCTGAACAAGCATTTTGACACTTGCTTTTTCTGAAGAAAAAAAAAAGATCACGTATTCACACAGTAAGTCAGTTGGCTCATTGGTAAAATGTGGGATAGGAAGAAAACTGTTGCCAAATTTTACAACTCTGCTTTTCCTTCCTTACCACGGTCCATCCTCTTCTTGGTACCCTCCCATCTGCATTAGATTCTATGCTTTGTACTTCCTAATATTTCTCACACAATCCCATTATTTGTGAGAGCAGGTGCTTTAAAAACAAAGCAAAACAACCAAACAATCATAAGAAGACAATTCCCCACTTTCTTCTTGACGTGGAAGTGATAAGACTTGAAAACTAGCATTGAAATATTTTGGGAATGAGGCGACAAACTAGTAAGTATTTACTGAGTATGCCCAAAAAGATATTTCAGGGATGAAAATATAGCATTTTACTTCCTCCTTACCATTTAAAGTGGAAAAACAAAACAAAACAAACAAACAAAAAAAACAAACAACCCTCTTCCATACTAGAATCAGGCCTGTTCATCTCCAAAAGGTTCTAGTCTTTAAGGCATTTTGGCACTAAAATTTCTCTGTAGAATCAGCTAATAAAAAAATCAGATGCATTTTCAACATTGGGTCAAAATTTAAAAACTTTCCCAATCTTATTCTGAACTTCTTCATCCTTTAATCCATTAAAAAAACAAACAAACAAAAAAAAAACTTTTTGTATAACTGACCTTTACCAACTTTGTCAAGTATTCACTTGTGCACTGTGTACTTTTATTTCCAAATGCATGCTCAAAGCATGACATATTTTAAAAATAGTTGTCAGTTACAGAACAAACTGGTGTATATTAATTACTATATTTTCCCGTAGAGGTTTGTTTTTTTGTATATACATTACCAAAATGAAAAGAAAAAAAAAAATCAACATTCCCAAAATATTTTACCATTTTGCCCCCTCTACAAAAAGTGATACTCCATTTCGTCTTCATTTTCACCCAATCACAATGTCTCCTGGATTATTAACATTTTACCCTGTAGACCTTTCCCAGACTCTCTATAATAGTCACGTGTTTTCAGGCTCACAATTACAACTCTATTCTAGACAGACAAAAGTAAATGCTACTGCTAGAGAAATTTGTTCATGCACTCAAACATTAAGTCAATTAAGTCAGAAAGTCTGTTTTGATTAATGTCTGCAATAAAATTAACAAATCAAGGCTCTATATGCAATTTTAATTATTCTGAATGAAGGAATATCCCCTACCAGTGGTAATACTTGAAACGAGGTCTCCAGTTGGGAGTTCGTAAGAGCGTTTGAACTGCACAAGCCAGATTTACAAACATATAGCACATCAGGAAAAACCTATTAAGGAAAAGAAAACAAATGCAGCCCAAAATCAGCCCAAAACAAATGCAATAAACCTCCAAGACAGAGTTGTTATCCATTCATACCCTAAAATATGAAACTGTTTCAGTAGGGAAAATGTTCATTTATTTATTGAAAGTTAAACCTTTTTGCTAGCATTCAAGAAATCCATCAAGGAAAGTTTATTATGCCTAGAAATTAATTGTGATTTTAAAAGATTTTTGTCTCAGACTATCTCAAAGATCAGATAGAAGTGTAACTCGTTAGAAAACTAGGTGTATTGGGTATTACTCCAAAGAGAAAAATCATTGCCTAGTGAATTCAAACATAAAATACTATTAAGGTAAAAGAACAGGAAATAACAAATTCATACTTACATTGAAAGAATGGGTGCAACATTGTCCAAAGAAGCTATCAGAATTCCTATTTCACAAATAGCAGCAGTGAGGAGCAGAGCCCATGTTGGTTCTCCATTCGCCTTTCCATGTCCAAATACCTAGTTCAATTCAAGTATAAAGTAAAATTGGGAAAAAGCTGCTTATTATAGTGTTTTAAAACACAGTGCAGACAGTGAACTACCTGGAACCAAACCCAGTCATTATTTAGAAGGGAAAAGAAACAAACAAAAAAAAATTGTTGAAAAAAAAAGGGGGAGTGTAAAAACATTTATCTCCAATATGAAGAAAAATGTTTAGTAAAAAAAACAATGACTACATTACATTGAAGTATATCAGCAGCTGCTGTTGAAATAATCTAAAGTAATTTAAAATCTGCATGCATCAGTTGCATTTATTCTATAACATGCTAACACAGTTGAAAGCATTATTTTTTATATCACACACAACAGGCACCAAGTCTGTGGTTGATCAATACATGCTCTTTGGAGAGGACTGAGTTTAGTTTATTCTGGGTTCCCCTCCACACTTAGAACCACTACACACTCACTGCTACTTTCCATAATTACGTCCTTCTCGAACATGTAGGTTGTTCACTTCATCCGTTCTTTATTCTGTGTTCTCCTTTCCCCTCTGCTTTCTCTCATGGACAAGACAATCGTGGAGGTTCTTTTTCAACCTTCGTGACTGTATTCTATTCCATGACTCATTGATAAGTCTACTTTTCTTTATAATAAAATGTTAGTTTTTTCCTGATTATGGTTTGAAAGTCCTTTGTTTCATTCTTAAAAGATGTCCGACTGTTGTCCCCATATTAATCTCCTCTCGTTCCCAATTGCCCATGCAACAGTTGTATGACTCCAAAACTGCAAGTACCTTCCAAGTCTCAAATCCCTCAAAAAGAAAAGTCTTGATATATGGCGTCATAAGAGGGAATTACATTGTTACTCTTGACTTCACTCAGCCTCCAAAAATGAATAAAAGTGAGAACTGTATCTCTGATGTGAGAAGTGATATTCATCTCCATCATGAAATTAAATCAACTCAGTTTACAAACACCAATCATTAGCACTGTCTAGAGTCAGAAAGCTTAGTTGTCTCTTTGATTGCTCATTTCAATTTACATAAGTTTTTCAGTCTTGACCTACTAACATTTATATATGTGTATGTACATACAGACAAAAATAACTAAATTGCACTGAAATAACTGAACTTTGGTCTGCAATAACTTACTATATTGCTGTAAATAAGTAGTCCTGACTTCAAATCTTTTTTTTTTTTAGTTCTGGAAGAACAGCAGAAATAATGCTTCTTTTTTTTTTAACTGTCAACAAAATAAATGCCACACTTGAAATATATGAAAGTATTCTCTCACTTGAATAAATGGTACAATGCCATCTCTTGCAATGGCTTGCAACAGACGGGGTGCACCAGTCAGACTTTGGAGACCAGCACCACATGTTGAAAAGAATGAACCAATCACAATAACCCATGGAGAAGGCCAGGCCAGTGTACCAACCACTAGGTTTCCATCAACTGCTTCACCAAACCTTAGAGAAGGGAAAAACAACACAAAAGCAAGGAGTAAACACAAGTTAACAACAACAACCCACAGTAAACACTAAAACAATTTCTTTTATAGCTTCACAATCCATATCTCAATCTTTTTGGACAATCTTAGATGCTTAGATGCTGCCTTTTAAGATGACACAGTCACTATTAGCTATCTTGGCAAACTTTACAAAGTTAACAATACCAAAAAAAAGGAAAAAGTCTGTGTCCCACCTGTATGTAAGACATACAGTGCATAAACAGAAGATTTGTTGAACTAATGTTCACACTTTTAGTAGTGTGGTACTAATATATAGACAAGGAGATACAGAGAAACTACTGGATACAACCATCCCAAGTTACTCATGTCTTCCGATTATTATGCCACCCAATGCAATTCAAAAGAGCAACTTTAACAAGGGAGTATCAAAAAAAAGGAAGAACTTTCATAATACAGCACTGAGCACTGAATCCAATGCCACCGATTTTTCTTTTACTCTTTTCTTCTTCCTAAAGATAATTGACTTTATGCTCATTTATGGACACGTTGGGTAAAGAATGAAAAACTTCTTTTTTCTTTCCCCAAATGATTTTGTTTTTAAAACAAGTAAGCCTCTGGTAGTTCATCTTAGCTTTGTAAGCAAGTAACCAAAATCAGTTTCAAGAACATGTGCTCTATGGTACTGTGGTAGCATATAACTTCTTCACTTTTTAAAATTTATTTTAATAAACACCAGAGAAAAGAAAAGGCTGTAGGCTAAGAAAAGTTAAATACTTCTCTATTTGGACCAGCTACTTGACAAGGTTCAGAGACATAATAATCAGATCAGTTGTAAACAAGTGTTCAAGTTCTTGCATATTCTAAAGCTTGTACAGCCACATACTATCTTCAGCAGATGAGAAGACGGGAAAAGACATCTTTTAAATACAAAGGAGAAAAACAGGCTATGTTTCTCTGAGCTGCATCCTCATTCTTAATACAAGTATTGGAATTTGGCTCCATTAAGAAAACTTGAAATGTGAAAGAATGTACAAGGTTTTTCTTCCCACTGCAAATATGACAACCCACAATGAAAAGAAAAACAGACTTTGAAATAGACAAATCCTGCTACATTTCATTCTTATGCTAGACTTCAGAAAAACATGAACTGGCAGCTGTAAACGAAACTATCAACAATCTTGGATCAGCGATCTTGCTGCAAATGCATTCTGCTCTAGCAACAGATCCGTGGAGCTGTTGGAGAAGGTCCAGACCACAAATACAATCAGAGGGCTGGAGCATCTCCCCTATGAAGACAAGCTGAGAGAGTTAGGCTTCTTCAGCCTGCAGAAGAGAAGGCTGCGAAGAGACCTCATTGCAGACTTCAGTACTTAAAAGGGGATTATAAGCAGGAGGGGAATCAACTTTTTACTCAGGTAGTTCGCGGTAAGATAAGAGGGAAATGTTTTTAAGCTCAAGGAGGGAGGATTAAGATTGGATGTCAGGGGGAAATTCTTCACAGAGAGAGTGGTGAGGTGCTGGAACAGCTGCCCAGAGAGGCTGTGGATGCCCCGTCCATCCGTGGAGGTGTTCAAGGCCAGGTTGGATGGGGCCCTGGGCAGCCTGGGCTGCTATGAAATGTGGAGGTTGGTGGCCCTGCCTGTGGCAGGGGTTGGAACTTGATGCACCTTGGGGTCCCTTCAACCCAAACCCTTTTATGACTCTGACAGATTACCTGCATTCAGCTTGCAAAATCTGTCCTAATATGAGTCCTGATTTATAAGTGATCATTTTAAAAACCAAGAGGTGTCCTGCATCCACTAGATGGTATATTGTATTCTTTCTGATGAACTCCACTTGTCATACAGGTGTCAAAAAAAATTTTCATCTTTATTCCTCAGGAGCATACTACCTCTCCTGACCTAATAAAAACACACTTATCTCCATCTCAGCCAATTCTACAAATACCAACTATGCTTTTGTCTCTCAAGAGTGTTTAATTAGGAACAGTCCCACTTCACAAACATTTATCCCGGATGCTTCCTCTATATGCTTCCTCTAATATTCCACATGGATGTTTCCCAGAAGAGCCATTAATGAAATGAAATCTGATTAACAAAACTCATGATCATACATGCCCCCTATAGAATTACAAGTTGAATGCAACTTACTTATCTCTTAATACCACACCTTCTATACAGGCACCAAACAACACTATGCAAGAAAGATCTATTATTGAGACTGAAGGAAGATAAATTGTAAATAAATAATTATATAGAGAAAAACTTAAATGTCAATGATAACTAACTTCAGTCTTTTTCTTTTTGCTTTTATTATTATTATTCTCCCATTATACAAATGTTTAGTTTATGTTCTTTACATATGTCCTGCATTTGATCCACAATCGTTTTATAATGTATTGGAAGCAAACAGCTCATGCATCACGAAACAGAACATGTAATTTCTCATGCAAAGATATTTGTGTCTTTTAGTTACTGATTAAATAACAATTTCTACTGCTGTTACCTAGCTTTAAGATTTTTAGTGGCTGTACTGAGTACAAAGCAATCTGCCAACTGAAATATGCTATAAATCTCTATTGGTTAACTATAAATAAATTGTAATTTGGAGTTTGCTGTAAGCTGGAGTTTGAAACCTTAGTAGAAAACAGGACATTTTAACCATCTATGTGCATATATTTTATAGCTATATATATATAAAACATGTAATATATGTGTATGCTTATAAATACGTAATATATTTATAAATATAAAAGATTTATTTTCAGGTTGGATTTCATTAATTTTATACTCAGGCTACTCAATGACTTTAAAAAAAAAAAAATCAATACCATGCCTACAGAATTTGGACTAGAAAAAGAAGTCACAGCACAAAGGATACAAATAAAAGAAGTAGTTGAAATAGCTAAAATTGTTCCAGTAGGAATAGATTTCTGAGCATCCTTAAGATCACCAGATCTGTTTGAACCTGCCATAATACCTAAAGAAAAAGAAATTTGTATGTCATAAAACCAATGAATTCTAACTTCACTTAAATAACTAATAGAACTGGAATATTTAACTTTTATTGTATCATAACCAAAAAGCAAGCTACAGAAATTATTATATTACTGCATCAATCCTTATTTTGTATATTCATTTGATTCATAAATTTGTGTTACCACTTATCACTGAGGGAACTAAATCCAGAAGGCTCAGTAAAAACTTGATCATTTTTAGAACAGGAAAGTGTACAAGAAAAGCAAAACGTAGGAGATGGATGTTATAAACATGAGATTAGGAATTTTTACCAGCATGACCAGATGTACAAATTCTTACTAAGCAGACCATACATAGCAAGATATGCAAACAAATCTACTAAATAACAAAAATGAAACAAAAAGAAGGGAGCAATAAGAAGCACAAAACGAATGGTCATGAGATCACAGGCACACCTTCATGTTTTTCTAACCTAAATAGAGAACAAAAATTTTTACTGACACAATGTTAAAAAGTAGAATAAAAACATTCTTCCCTAGAATTGCCTTATCACCACTAGAGACAAAAAACAGTAGCTAAGGTCAACACATTCCATTGCAAAAATATTATTGAACTCCACACAGTGAAATCCTAACTACAAGCTAGGATATGATGAGGTGCTGATAAAGAGAGAAAGAGGGAAGTACAGAAGTGAGAACAGTGGAGAATATGAAAAGACACCTCCATTTGGTATTCTATTAGTAAATAGTGCTGCAAATTTGCATCAAAATTCTGTTTTGTTCTTTGATCTTGAATTGCTTGATCTGGGATTTTTCAATAAAAAGTTTTCTAGTTATTTCAGTAAAATGAAATCTGAGGGAAACTAACCTAGCTTTTAGTCTTGATCAAAAAAAGTCTACTGTTAGAGCTGAGGAGAAAACAAACAAACAAACCAAAAAACCCCACAACCTAGAAGTTTAAACAAGGTACAGTGTACATAACAGTTTCCTTGCATGCATTTGAAGATTAAAACATAAAAACAAAAACTTTTCATTCAGCTGCAACTTACTGTGAATAGCCATCGAGGTTTCTTTTTTCTGTGAGAGGTGGAATACAGCCTGTCAACTGATCCATTAAGTTCTATAAACCCCTAAAATAAACAGCAGCCAGCTATGTCTCTCTAGCACCAGAAAATCTATTACTTAAAACTTGGACAGATAAGGAATTCCATGTGTCATCAATATTCACACCAAACTTTTTTCTTCAGCTATAAACACACATTCTCATTCAAGAAAAACAGTTTTAGTCTACCTGTTACAGATGGGAAATAAATCCCTACAAGCACTGTGAAGTAGGTCATGATGTCTGTGAAAACATAAGGGCGTCCACCAATTTTTATGTCTTCTGATCCAGAAATTGATGGCTGACTTTTTTTCTCAACTATTGATCCTTTCTCCGAATAGGTGCTCCACAGATTATCTACAAGGAGGGGGGAAAAATAGCCATTGTAGCCTCTGATTCAGAATATTAGAGAGAGTGCAGTACCCTTGTAAGTTGGATGACTTTTCATCTATAAAAAGCATGACATTTCCCAATGCTTCTTTATGAAATTTAGACACAGCAGCAATAACATCAGTATCAGTCATAACTGGTGGACATTTCCATTGGATGCCAGTAGAGATGTAGTGGTATATGAGATATGCTGTAAAAAAATTTTCTTCTGTTAAAGACTGAGTTACAGAATTAAATTCTAACATATTCTAGAACATCCACTTAGATTATACAAACGTATGGATGTATTACCAGCTATAGTGTTCTAAAAAACATAAAAAGTACAGCAGTAAAGGAAAAAAAAAATTTTTTTAATCTCCAGATTAAGGAAATTTGGACAATAGCTCAAGATTTGGCTGTTCACAATGAAGGTATTCCAAATGGCCATTAGTCAAACTCCAGAAGAGGACCAATGAACAAAGGAAATTTAAACAAACAAAAGCAACACACACAAACTACAGGTAATGGTCCACATTCCCCCAGATATAACCTACGAATGTTTGCATAACGAAGGTCAATAAACTAGTAGCTTCCAACAGTTTACATTTGGGAAAATGTTAATTATGCCCCTCAAAAAGATGGTAAGGACTTAAACACAGATCTCATTCTAAAATAAGTCTTTGTTACCTTCAACACAATATGAAGATTCAGAATCAAAATCAATCTCCTATGGAGCCAAAGATTCAGATTTGCCCAAGAACTATTATAACTGCTATGAAATAATAATAAATGGAATCATGCATGAGAAAAAACTGTAAGCAAGAGAAGAGTTATGGTTAAAAGGAAAGGTAAACATGAATTGCTACAAAGCAACTACACATGTTATTTCATTGAAATGAAGAACAAACTAATGTACAGGTGAAGACACATAAAAGCAAGAGCTAGGGAAAACAAGAAAACTGAATTCAGGATTTTCAGCAAACATTTGAGTAACAGAAAATGAGGCAAGACCTCCAAATTCCCAACTACAGCATGCAGAGTACAAAGAAACTACAGCAAGTCTTTGAACAAAGTGAAAAATAAACCACCAGTGCAGAAAGAGTTCATTTGAGAAATCTTTGCTATGCATTGAGTTCCAGCTAATATTACGTATCAGAACTCATGTTCACACTCAGCAAGCACAACAGTGTTTATCCAAGAATACCAAAGGACTTGTGCTGCTAAAAATGTGCTGAAACTGCATTGCTACCCAAGGGTTAAAGTATGGCAAGCATAGGGTCAACTTGAAAGCAGCATCTGCAAATGAACAACTGGCAGCAACAACAGCAAGGAATAAAAGTAAGACACACATAGGTATTACTTCTGAATTCAAATGTAATAAGTTTTTATTTTGAGTTTTGAGGAACCATGGAAGTCTAACACAGCTTTTGTTAAAGAAAGATTGTACCTCAGAATTACTTAAGTTCCTTGGTAGAAACATACCTGAAGTAGATTTCTGAATTTAGCCCATCTAGACTTCCCATATGTTTCTGACAGATTCCTTGGGCAAAAAAGCTTAAGATGGACATGGAATAAAAGATTTCACATGTATTTTAAAGTGGTTCAAAGACAAAAAACAACAGGTAAAATTAAGTGTATATTCAGTTTTACAGCTCACAGAATCATAGAACTGCTCAGGTTGGAAAAGACCTTCAAGTCCAACCACAACCTAACCATACTACCCTAACTCTAACAACCCTCTCCTAAATCATGTCCCTGAGCACCACATCCAAATGGTTTTTAAACACATCCAGGAATGGTGACTCAACCACCTCCCTGGGGAGCCTATTCCAGCGCTTAACAACACTTTCTGTAAAGAAGTGATTCCTAATATTCAGCCTAAACTTATCCTGGTGCAACTTAAAGCCGTTTCCCCTCGTCCTGTTACTTGTCACCAGTGAGAAGAGACCAGCCCCACTCTCGCTGTAAGCACCTTTCAGATATTGGAAGAGAGCAATTAGGTCTCCTCTCAGCTTCCTCATTCCCAGACTGAACAGCCCCAGTTCCTTCAGTCTGTTCTCACAGGCCATATTCTCCAAGCCCTTCACCAGCCTTGTTGCCCTCCTTTGGACCTGCTCCAGCACCTCAGTGTCCTTTCTGTACTGAGCTGCCCCAAACTGAACAAAGCACTGGAGGAGAGGCCTCACCAGTGCCGAGTCCAGGGGCAGGATGACTTCCTGGTGCTGCTCACCACAGCATTCCTGATCCAAGCCAGGATGCCATGGGCCTTCTTGGCCACCTGGGCACACTGCTGGCTCATATTCAGCCCACTGTCCATCACTACACCAAGGTCCCTTTCCATCAGGCAGCTTTCCAGTCACTCCTCCCCAGGCCTGTAGGGTTGCCTGGGGTTGTTGTGACCAAAATGCAGGACCCGACACTTGGCCCTATTGAAACTCATACAGAAAACTCATACAGAAACTCATGCTTGGCCCTTTGATCCATTCTGTCCAGGTCCCTCTGTAGTGCCTTTCTACCCTCTGGCAGATCAACACTCTCTCCCAACCTGGTGTCATCTGCAAACTTACTGAGGGTGCACTCAATCCCCTCATCAAGATCATTAATAAAGGTGTTAAATAGAAGCAGCCCCAGTTCCAAGCCCTGGGGGATACTGGCTGCCAACTGGATTTAACTCCATTGACCACAACACTTTGGACCTGGCCATCCAGCCAGTGTTTCACCCAGCAGAGTGTACGCCCATCCCAACCATGCCAAACATGGGCACACAGCTTCTTCACGAAAATGTAGTGGGGGACACTGTCAAAGGTTTAGAAAAGCCAAAAGCTCAGGAAACCCACCAGTAAACTTCCCCAAGAAATGGTACCAGGATGTAACCTGTGCTCTCCAATGCAAAGGTGGTGAATGCAAAAGCCACCTGCAAAGAACTATGCAAAAACTTTCTACTCAGTCACCAAGCCTGGTAAAGAAACTGATTAAATTTATCCACAGGTAAGTGTCAAACAACGAACACCGGAAGGTTTTTCCCTTACACTGAGCTTTCAGCAGACTCATAATGGTTGTTAGAGATCTTGGCTTTATGTGACATCAGGAAAATGAAATGCACTTTTATATAGTAGTACTGTATTACAAAAAAAACCACAGCTGTTCAAAGCTTAGAATACAAGACTGTTTTCTGAGCATATGGAGGGAATGTAAACTAGCATGAGAAGAGATACGTAACATTTAAGAAAAAAAGATATATGTACTAACTTACAAAATGCATACAGTAAATAAAATCTCAAGTCACAGTTCTTGCAATAAGCATTTTAGTCAAAAGCAGGATTCCATCTTTGATTCTGAGGAAGCTGAGTGAGTTTATATAAAAATTCAGACACAAAGCAGCCTACATTTCAGCTGGAACTGAATGTGTATTTGTACACTTTATGTTTAATCTTTTAAATTGAGTTACTATGGCAGTAATAATATTACTTAGTGCCCCTATTTCTCTTTACAGAGAGTTGCATATTTCTATAATCAAATTCTATTTTAAGGGAACGTGGAGGACAGGAATCAGAACATCCTTCTCATCCTCATAAACATTATTTGTTTCTATAATACAATACTATCTATTACATGTTCAAAATGAAATTTATGAACCCGTGCAATTAGTTTAAACCTAAAGCAGCCACAATTATATAAAAACATAAACATAAGATATTCTACACACTTTGTAGAAAGTCTCCTGTCCAAATGCTAGACTGATAGCTAGAAAAACTTTATTTTTTCCTGAACTGGCATGCTGTACATTGTTGGACAAACAACAGGACTTTACTTCTCAACATGCCATCTGTAAATTGGAAATTCACGGGATTTTGAAATAACTGAATTTGATGTGATAGAAAAATAGCTTTTGAAAGAGTGCCCGTAAAACCTTAATGATCCCCATATGAAAGCAATTCATATTAAGTTTCCAAAACCAGACGGAAATGTTAAAGAAGGAAGTAGACTCCAGGAAGCAATCTTTCAACACAAGTATATTATTACTAAGGAGTAGTGACAGGCTAAAATACTACATTACTGCACAGCTTCAGGCCGAATCAGCACAGATCACTGTGCTTTCTGACTTACCAATTAGAACTCCACTCAGTATTCCTGGAATCCCTTGAATTTCTGTTACATTATTGAGGCTGAAGTAGTCATCACACATAGCAGTAGGCAAAGAACTATTGCAGAAGAGCAGCCACAAGTTTGTGGTCTTTGTTTCATTATTCCTTTCAGTAAATTTGGCACAGACATCAAAGCTGCGCTTTGACAAGGTACGGTTTCCAAGAAGACAGATGCTACAAACAAAACAAAACAAACAGTGTTTCTTCAGCATAGTAGTGTGCATTTAAGCATTTTTTAATCCATTAGACTTCCTCAGAAATCCAGTATTTATAGCACTTATGTTTTGGGCTGTACAATATCTACTAAAGCAGAAGAGTCTCTCCATATAAAACCATCATCAGTAACATTTAAAATACCAGTCAAACATTTCCACTTTAAGACAGCTTCTATGCTTTCTGATTATTCTTTGGAAAATATAACAAATTCAAGCAGCTTGACCACTAAATAATAGGACTGAATATATCATGACCTCTATTAAAAAAAAAAAAAAAAAAAAAAAGTGAAATGAAGTCATTTGATTTATAATGCAGTGACAAGTTTGACCAAAAAAAATACAAAAGAAAAATTAAGCAAGAGTTGTGCACTTTTCCAAGAAGTTCTTTAGATTAACAGCTAAGGAAGTAAGCCAGGAAAAGAGTAAAGTTTAAAAACTCTGAACTCATAGCTCAAAGTATTGTATAGTTCTATGCAAGAAGCAATTACAACTCTCAGAGAACTAGGAATATTTTGCAAAAAGCAAATGGTTATTAACAAAGAACATTAAACACCTACTACCTACTTTTGTTAACCCTTTGTTAAGCTATGCAAAAGACATTCAGGAGATATCTCCCCCAGGCTTGTTTAATAAAGTGGCTCATTGCATCTATGAAGATGAAATGAGGAATGATCAAATAAAGCATCAGAGTTAGGCAGGTAAGATATAGCACATAGGCAGTAAACATCTGGTACTTCTGAAGGAGTTCAGGAATCTGGTAACAAACAGCATAAACATAGCATTTGCTATCAGGCCAAGTATGCTAAGTCATACAGTATGTTTACTTAGCTTAGTTTTTTACTTCCTGTTTCTGATACCAGTGAAAAGTACAAGAAGGGAAACTTACAGGACACCAGTACATCTCCAGGTACAGCTGCAAATCCATGGAGATCAAGCAGATTTAACAGAAAGCCCACTGCTAAAGAGAACGATCTTCCTTGTTTAGTATTTTTGCTATTGGATTTGGTTAACTACTCAACCTCTAGAAACTTCTTCCAGTTTGATTTGGCTGTAAGATCATGATGTGAGCTAATAAAGCACAGTATTTCAACATCTACAAAATGCCTACAACTAACAGAGATGGAATGAGGTGATAGACATAGCTAAGTGAATAGGGAAACTGGTGTTTTTATAAAATGTCCAAATGTTAGACTAGAAGCTAGAAAACTATTTTTACAAACCTACACCAACTTGCTGTATGACGGTGAGTTTGGTGACCTACTCATAGCTTTATCATAATGTGAAACCACATTTGAGTTTCTTCTTTTAGGGCAGATTCACCAAAATGTGAACAATTCTATTTATAGAAAGATAAGCTTTGTTTAATATTTTTTCCAAATAGTAATGTATCACAGAAGCAGTTTCCAGAAATTTGGTAATAAGTCTTACCAATGCTACATACCCAGAGAATCCCTCTTTTACCTATACAGACAAATAAAAGATTTAAATATTTCCCTAGTGGAAGTTTGAGTTTCTGAGAAATTCAAGTTTTCTTCAGAGAAGTGTCAAATTTGAACATATTTTTATTTGCCAACAGAAAGGTTTCTGTTTATCTTTTACAGTACAGTCCAAAAATACTGCCTAACTGCTCAACTTAAGCAGCAACCATTAACACGTCAGATTACTATGGAATTCTGCATCAACCGTATAGCAAAGGATCAGTTTGACATAACAGGTGGCAATGCACTACAGCAACTCTCATCTCTTCCACTACTGTTTTAAGCAGTACTGTTCTTTGCTCTCCAAGCAGGAAGAGATGCACAAAAACAAAACTAGCATACTGGTAACTGGATAACCAAACACATTTTCAGTGAGCTGAAGAAAGGTACAAGATAAAGATGTTGAGAAACAATATGCCATGTGTGACAACAAAACTAGACTTTAGTAACAAAAAGGTAGAAAAGTTTTTGTGTAAAGCAAGTGAATTGAATAATGTAAAGCTTCTATTTTGAATAGGGTGAATAGAAATCTCAAAAAGTTCATGACAAATTTTTAAAGTACGCTACCTCCTGTTCATAGTTACAACATTTCCTTGAAGATTTTACTTTATATACTTCATTTCTTAATTGATTAGATAAAGCAGCTATATTTACTGTCAGCAAGACCACTTTTGCATGTAGGTATGAAAAGAACAGTGGCTAAAAACATTAAGTAACATTAAGCATGAAAGAACATTTTCCACAGTTATGACTTACAAAGATTCAAATAGGTAGTTCACGATAACAGAAGATCACATAAGTGCCTCATAAAGATATGAAACCTTCCACTGAGATCAGTGTGAGCATATTTTTAAGTTTAGCTTAAAATTTGGTTGTAGTAGCTATTCTTTCCCCCTACTTTTTTTTTTTTTTAATAATAATCTATACTATTTAATGATATGTTGATATGTTACTTACGGAAAGTCGGGTGGGTCAATAGCAGTCTTAATAACTCCAGCATATATGGCAATGATGGATAGAATCACACAGGCAAGGAAGACTAGTGCAAGTTTGTTGACATACTTGACTCCCACAAAAACTACTATGGCCATCAGAATGATAATACACGTTCCATAAACTCTCATGTTGTTCAGCATGGCCTCTGTTTCTTCACCAACCTCTTCTGCTTTAAATATGGCGGCACTTGGAGAAATGTAAGTCTGCAGGAGATATGGAAATTGCCTTTCATGTAATAACAATCATTTTATGCAGAACTAAATTTACTTTAACTTTAAAATCTAAACTACTACAGTTGGCAGTTTTCTTACTTCACAAAGAAGTTCAACCAGATGGCATGGTTATTTAGTGAAGAAAGAGCAGAAACAAATATCCTCACATGTGTCTGGCATAATGAAACAACAGAAAGTTATTTTCAAGATTTTTCCTAGTATAGAGGCATTGTAAGAAACTCAGGTTTAAAGTGCAATGAGGCTTTAATTACATGCCACTCCCATTTTTCAACTACATCTTTTAGATAAATTACTTTGAAAGCCAGCATGTATAGAAAGTGGTATTATCAGAAAACTGTAAAGCTGAATGAGCATCCTATATAAGTGGAAAAGGAACAAGGTTGAAGATGAAATAAGAGGACAAAACAGAGTGGATATACTGAGAAAGAGACACAGCTTTTGGTCCAGCTTTTTATCTGTTTTCTAACAGTTTCTGCCTCTCATAAATTTGTCTTTGCCAGACAAGAAAAAAAAATAAGAAACAGAGGAAGACAAGGAACACAACAAGTATGTTTCCATGTGACAGGTACAGATTGCAAAGAGGATGCCACACTGTAGTGTCTGATACCCACACAAAGAACAAGCTATTGCTCATTCTTCTCTTCCTACACCAGAAAGTCCAAAACTAAATCTTACTATTATGAGTAGTTTTCCTTGAACTATATAAGACTACAGTAGCATAAACATAATCTGAAGGATTCTTTTTTTAACCAGAGCATATTATGAAGAGGTAGCAAAGAGAGACATCCCATTTGGTAAAATTACTGTCTAATGTGACTTAAGTGACTTAAAGTCACTTACTGAACTGTTTTGTTCCTAATTTAAGTGGGGAAAAAACGTTAAACTGTTTAAATACTGATCATAATTTCATGATCATAAATTTATTATCATCATTTATTATTATTGCTGGGCTAGAGTCAGCTCCACAAATCAAAGTTTGTTGAACTTCTTCAAATATTCATGAGAAGAACTGGAATATTGACATACTACAAATGTGGTACCAAAGCATTCAAAAATCGGACTAGAATACATTTTAGGTGTCATTATAACTTATCTGTGATTATTATATTTAGACAATGCTCAGTGATCTCTCAAAATAGACTGAAAATAGACTTATGAGAAACCAGTACTTACCAATAAGATTTCAATGGTACCAAGAATGTACATGGCTCCTGCAAAGGTTGTACCCAGGTAAAAACAAAGTCCCACTGCTCCACCAAACTCTGGTCCTAAAGATCTTGAAATCATGTAATAGGAGCCTCCAGCTGTGAATTTAACCAAGAAGATTCCAACTTTTCAGATTAATAAAAGCAGTAGAGATCAAAACATTCTGTCATTCAATCAGCCCAGGTACTTGAGAAAATCTCTGCATGCATCTCCATTAAAATGTTCTTTCCAAACCTGTATTTGATGTTTACACCAAATGTGCTGTTAGAATGTACACTTTGAGATGCACATCATCACATGCATTTTCACAAAAGCAGTGTTTTCAAAACATCAGCTACCCAAACATTTTAAGCATTAGGTTCATGCATCAGAATTAAAGCAAAAAAAAAATTAAAAAATGAAAAGTAAAGAGATACTAGCCAGTTTTGTTGGTTATTTGCCGAAGACCATTTCTTGCTAAAGAAATGAAAATAAAATTACAACACTCTAATCACTTAAAATCAGAAAGCTTTTTCTTTTTAGACAGCTAGAACTGGGAAATGAAGATGTTCGTAGCTTTTGTCTTATATTACACAAATAATTCATCATATATCAAGCAGTTGCACAGAAGTCCTGCAATGTTTTTCTGTTCTCATTAATAAATGCCAATACTCAGTCAGTTCTGGTGCCGGCTTGGTCCTCAGCAAAGTAGTTGATTGTGGCACTACAGACTGCTAAACAACCAGTGCAAAGAAGAAAATATGACAGGTGATAGCTGTAGCTGACTCTTTTCTGAGAGGTACAAAGGCATCAATTTGCTACCCTGACCCACTCACACGAGAGGTATGTCTCTTACCATGAGCCTATGTAAGTACTACAGATGTTACCAAGAAATTACCAAGCCTTGTACAGCTTGCAGAACCACTATCCATGGCTGTTATTTTATGCAGCACCAACAACACTGTTAAGAACATCCAAAGTGTATCATGAAGGACTATAGAACCATTGGAACAGTGTCAAGAGGCCCTGGAGTATAAATGATCTTTTCAATCCTACTAATCAAAAGAAAAGACTTTAAGAAGACCAGTACAATCTGGCAGATCAATTCATAGTTGCCAGACAAGTGATATGGCCAAGGATATGGCTTTTTAGACTGTGGTACTCTTTGGGAAACCTGGTCTAGTAGGGACCAATGGTGTCAATCTGTTGGAGAGCTAGTACATAAGTGATAAAAAGAAAGACTAGGGGAAATGTAAGCTCTCTCCTGAAGAAACTGAGAGACGTGGTTACCCGGACATAGAGAAGGTAGTACTCTGAGTTTTTTTTGACTCAGTCTTCACAGAAGGCAAAGGCAGACACTGAGAGAATAAAGAACTGCCCGCTGTAGGAGATCAGGCACAAGACCACTTAAGGAACCTTAACATGCACAAGTCTGAGGGACCTGATGAGATGGACATGAAGGTCCTCATGGAACGGCGGATAAATTTCCTGTGCATCTATTCATTACATTTGAAAATTCATGGCAGTCTGTTAAAGGGGTCACTGTAGGGGTCTCAGAGACTTGAAAAGGTAAAACATAACCCCCATTTTAAAAAAGAGAAAAAAAAAAAGATCTGGAGAACTACAAGCCAATCATTTTCACCTCTGTGCCTGGCAAGATCATGAAGCAGATCCTATGGTAAGGCACGTGGAATACACAAAGGTGACTGGCGACAGCACACATGACTTCATTAAGAGAAAATAATACCTGGCAAATTTGATTGCTTTCCACAATGAGGTGACAGCACTGGTGGATAAAGGAAGAGCTACTGACATCATCTGTCTGGACTTGTGCAAAACATTTGACACTGTCTCACATAACATCCATGTTTTGAAAATGGAAGCACATGGATTTATCGATTGACCACTCAGTGAATAAAGAACTGGCTGAAGGCCACACTCAAACTCAGAGAGTTGCAGTGAATAGCTCCGTGTCTTGGTGGAGACCAGTGATGCCTGGTGTTCCTCAGGGGTCAGTATAGGACTGTTACTATTTAATATCTTTGTTGGTGACATAGCGGGATTGAATACACTTTCAGCAAGTTTGCCAAACTCAAAACAGTGTTGCAGTCAAGATGTTGAAGGGAAGGGATGTCATCCAGAGGGATCTGAACAGGCTTAGAAGTGAGGCCTTGTGAATCTCATGAAGTTCAACAATGCCAAATATTGAAAGCAGCCCTGCAGAGGACTTGGGGGTAATGATAGATAAAAAGCCAAACATGAGCTGGCAATGCGTGCTTCCAGCTTAGAAACCATATCTTGAGCTGCGACCAAGAAGCATGATCTGCATGCTGAGGTAGGAAATTCTGCCCCTTACATTCCATCCCTATGAGAACCCCACAATGCTGCCTTCAGCTCTGGGATCCCCAGCAAGAGAAAGATGAACCTGTTGGAGAGGGTCCAGAGGATGGCAATGAAGATGACCAGAGGGCTGGAGCACCTACTCTACGAAGAAAGGCTGAGTAAGTTGTGTTTTCAGAACCTGGAAAACATAAGGCTCCAGGAAGATGTTCTAGCAGCTAAAAATACATATATTTTGAGATGCAATATCACTATGCCAAACAAAAACAAAAAGGCACAATGGGAATATCAATAGTTCTTCATGGCAGATAGAATTTTAGGATAGGAAATTTATTAATTAAAAAAGCAGATTCTTCATTTACAGTTTTTAAACATTGCCTTAAAAATATTATGAATTAAAGAGTTCCTTATGTCATAAGCTCCAATATTTTTTATTCTAAAACATTTACAGTGAAGCAAGATTACTGGAACTCTGTAGAACCGCAGGAGAATATTATTGGAAGACTGTAAATTGATTTAGTTTACTGATTAGTACTTAATAAAACCAGAAAGGACAGCATGACAACTGTCTAATCAGACATACCGAAAACCTTCAGGCTTTCCTTAAACAAAGCTGGATGTTTTTTTCAGAGCTAGAGATTTTACAAAGGGAAGGAAATAAAAAGGAGGATGAATACCGATGAAGTTTACCAAAAACCTTTCTCTGCTCTCCTTTGAAAAGTGAATAACAAATATTAGTTTCCAGTTTACAGATGCAATGAACAGCTTAAACAGATGCACTGCTACTAACACTTGCTTTTTAACTTAAAAAGCAACAAAATCACTGAAAGTGATGAAGAAAAGCAGTAAGTTCGATACTCGTAATGCCAAAGTAATGAATAAAAAGTTTATTTATTATTATTCCTTTCAATTGTAGGTACTTTGTCCCTTCCACATGTTCCAGGAATACTAGTACAATAAACTTGAAAAATAAGAGGGAAAAAGAGATGAACAGTGACTAGGATAACTATACTTAATTATAAAACAAAAACAATTGAAAAAAATTCTTACTGCATTTATATTTCACATACTGTACTACATCTGTGAAACAGAATCATAGAATGGTTTGGGTTGGAAGGGACCTTTAAGATCATCTAGCTCCAGCCCCCTGCTACAGGCAGGGACACCTCCCTCTAAACCAGGCTGCACAAAGCCCCATTCAGCCTGGTCTTCAATGCTCCCAAGGAGATGGTATTCACAGCCTCGCTGGGCAGCCTGTTCCAGCCTCTCACCACTCTCACAGTGAAGAATTTCTTCCTTATATCAGTCTAAATCTACCCTCTTCCAGTTCAAAACCCCTTGTCCTGTCACTACATGTTCTTATAAAAAATCCCTCCCCAGCTTTCCTAGAGGCCTCCTTCAAGTACTGGAATTCAAGATTCTGCACAAATTGTAGTGTTTAATTTTGCCCAACAACTTATGCATCCATTCTGGAACCTTACTAAGCTAGAAAAGCTCTAAAACTGAGTATTAATTCATTCATTAATTTAAAATTTATTTTTATGTATGTATACATACAATTTTTTAAATTTAATGTAAGCATCTGTACAGGATCCATAACACATCAGAATACTGATATTTTCAATTAACTTGTTGAAAACCAAGGATTAGAAGAGCTTCAAAAGCAAACTGATTTTGTGTTGAAAACATCTGTTTCATAATTGAAGAGGAACAATTTAGCAGGCAAACTTGTCCTGAAAAAGGTAAATGAGACGAGCATAACCTAAAATGCTTATATAGGAGGAGATTATTACCAGTATGCTGGCTATTATTCTTGCAGAAAACCAAATTGTTTCAGATGTTAGTAAATAAATAAAAAGTAATCTAGGGGCAATTCCAGGGGGAAAAAAGCACTTTATTTGTAAATTTAAGGCAGAGCAAATTTCTTTAGAAAATCAATCTTTATTAGCTCAAATTATGATATCTTTCATTCAACAGAATCAAATAATTGATGATAACAAAAATGTGCTACAGCTCCTGGAAGGTCTAGGTAGACCTAGACCTAGTTCTCACCTTAAAAAGTCAATTACAAGATACCTGAAACAATACTCCAAGTACTACTTCTAACAGTTCATATGATACATGGAATGGACTGCCAAGGGAGGTGGTGGAGTCACCGACCCTGGGGGTGTTCAAGGAAAGACTGGATGTTGTATTGAGGGACATGGTTTAGTAGGAGCTATTGGGAATAAGTGAACGGTTGGACTGGGTGATCTTTTAGGTCTTTTCCAACCTTGGTGATTCTATGATTCTATGATTCTATGATTTCAATACTACAGCAAATTATCTCAGATTTAATTATTTATCATTTTACCATTTTTTGTCTAAGATTAAAAAAAAATATTGATTACCTGGAACCACACCGTTTGTTGCTATTGCACTCATTGAAATTGCAGTTAGCATAGTCTGCAGAAAGATGAAACAAAACAAATTTAAAGTATTTTGAAAATGGGACAAGACAGTGATCAAAAGCACTTAAGAATTTACTAATAAAACTTCGTAGCAACTAAAACTGATCATCTTTGGTTAGATATTTCCATGTAAATGGAGTACAGAACCTTCTACATGATGATTGAGTAAGTTTAGATGCTTCAGACAGCCTTCAAATAGATGAGTACAGACCACTGAGAATGTACTTAAAATATTCTTTGTTCCAATTTATCACAGCTATGATGAATTCATCTACTGTTGGTTTCCCAAAATGAATTTACAGACACAATGCCAGTAGTTTATGTTTTGGTTTGTTCAAAAGTTGTTAAAAAAAATAATAATAATAATGGAAGACTTCAGGTCTCAATGTAATACAATGTGTATCATGAAATATTTGCTCGTTGAGTAGAATCCATTAAATACTTCAAGCTAAAACTTACTATCACTGGATCACAGAAAACCCAATATATGCTGAAAGGACACATGACATTCAGTGCATACATTTAAATGTTATAGAAGACCCATCCTGTATCTCTCAATTGTTCTGAAATTTTATAGAAAAATTATTATTACTTTATAGAGAAATTTATCTTAAGGAAAAAGCTTGTAATGTTTGTTTATACAAGAGAAAGCAGCTGTATTCTGGTAACAGAATAGTAAACCGATCAATAATAAAGAAAAAGATTATCTTACACAAGCACAGCACATGAAAACAATGATGAAAGACTCAAGAACTCCAGCTGTTCCTACAATCCATGTCAAACGCAGGAAAAGAATAACTCCCAAGATGTTTTGCAAGCAAGGAAGATACACACCAATAAATGTGCCCATTCGTGGAACCTGGAAGCAAAGACAACAGAACCATTCAGGCCTCACCATTAACCTTCTGCACTTCATGAATGTCAGCCTTTCCTGTTGAAATACTCAACTTAGAAGCAATAAATATACATACTAGGTCTCCAGGTACAGAAGTTCATCTCAAATCACAACTCAGGCTGTAAAAAATGCAGCCAATTTAAAACAGCAAGCAAGGGTTGCACTAGATTTCCAAGTACATAAAAGGACACAATGCCATACAGACTTCTATCTTTATTTTTTAGCACACTGGATAATGTTGGTAACATTGATGTTGTATACAAGCTCAGTTACTACAGAATCACTGAACAGTTAAGTTCAAAAGGACCTCTGCTGGTGACCTGGTCCAAACCCTCTGCTCAAGCTGGGACACCCAGAGCAAATTGCCCAGGACCATGTCCATACAGCTTCCAAGGTCTCCAAGGAGATTCTACAACTACTGCTCTGTGTCAGTTCTTTCTCACCTGTACAGCAAAGTGTTTCTTGATTTTTAGACAGAAACTCTTGCTTTCCAATTTGTGTCTACTACCTCTTGTCCTGGCACTGGGCATCACTGAAGAGAACAGGGCTCCATCCTCTTTGCAACTTCCCTTCAGATATCACTGTGTATAAATTAGATCCCCACAAGTTTCCTCTTCTCCAGTCTGAATAGTTGCCTCTCTCAGTCTCTTCATATAGTAGAAGTATTCCAATACTATATTATGCCATTAAAATTTTACTCTACCAGACAATTGCTTAATCTCAATTAATTTCAGACACCAAAGGGTAAAAAGAAAACATACACAAATCATGCTTTCAGGACACAAGCTGATATAGTGCAAGTAAATACAGTGTTCATTTGGCCAGTTAGTTCTAGACGGGCTAACACTGGGCTGCATTAACAAAAGCCAAAACTGAACAAGAAACTACAACTGATAAACAAGTGAAGAACAGCAAAAGGCTACGGACTTTATTACACAGCCTTGATCATTGTCTGTCCTGGTTTCAGCTGGGAAAGAGCTGATTTTTTTCTTTGTAGTGTCTGGTATGATGCTACGTTTTGGCTTTAAGAGACAAACAGTGTTGATAACAGAGCACTATTTTATTTGTTGCAGAGCAGTGCTGTATGCAGCATACGCATGGAGCCAAGAACATTTCAGTTTCTCAGCTTATTGTACTGCCTTGCCGGTGAGGGTGGCTGAGAGGACACAAGGATTTGGGAGGAGACAGAATCAAGACAGATGACCTATACTAACCAAAGGGATTTTCCATACCATATGACATCACACACACACACAAAAAAAAACTCTTGAAAATTAGTGAGAAGATGTCTAGGGGAGCAGCTGCTACTTGGGAACTAGCTGGACATCAGTGGGTGGCTGGTACACCACTTGTTTTGTGCATATATGATTATTAATACTACTACTACCTTTCCTCTTCCTTTTCTGTCTTGGTAAAAGAATATTTATCTCAACTCACGAGTTCTACTCCACACCCCCTTATCCCCCCTCCCCCAGTTCTTTCCCTCATGCCACTGGGAGCAGTTGAGGGGATGTGGGGTTGGAGGGGGCAGGGGTAATAAGCAAATGACTGCATGGTGCTTTGCTACATGTCAGGTTAAGCCACAACATTGTCCCAACAACTCCCAGTAGCAGTCAAGTCTTAACAAAAACAGTTCTAGAGCAAGTATTCAGGTACAATACTATAAGTCCCTCCTCTAGTAAAATAAATTCCAGTTATAACCTTAATTCCAAGCACCTTTTTGTATCCGTCTTCCCAGGTGCTTCTTTCCTTCTATTCTTTCTCATCTGCTTTTCCTTCTTCCTTCATAGCTCAGAAGATCAGTAGAAACTCAAAGATGAATAACTGCCAGTACTCTCATTCTGCCAGTACCTACCCTAAGTTTCCCTCATTCAGCTTTCATGCCCTACCAGTCACAGCTCATCATCCCTCCTTGACTGCATTTTTGTGTTATACATGGTTTTGATCCTGGCTTTCTTCTTCTAAGACAGCTTCCGGCTCATAGAAGGTTCAACATAGTATCTTACTATAGCCTGACAAGGTTGCTTATGTTCCTCTCATACAAAGGTATAGATAGGCAGTTGGGGCACCCAGCAGACAACCGTTGGAGATCTTAGTTGCTCTCTTCAAGCAAATATGCTTGAGGCAGAGAGCCTCCTCCAAACACAGGAACAATAGACCTAATACAGAAAACAAAACAAACAAAAAACCCGCTGCCATATTATGAAGCAAATACACTTCTGATCATAAAAAGTGGCTTGCTCCATTTCAAGTTTTTTCTAATTTCAACCTCAGATAACAATCCAGCCAACTGAAATGTATCAATAAACCATCAAATGAGAAGAATGTCAAAGTGCATCCTCACCAAAGGTAAAACAAAGTTACTGTTGCTAATACAAGGACAGAAGGGAACAAAATTAAGAGGGAACTGAGATGCATGTAATGCTTGTTTTGGTTCTGACTTTTACATACATTTCATATGGAACTTCTACAACAATGTGTTGCTAAAACACACTAGCAAGATCAATGAACACTTCTGCTTTTCTCTCTCCTGTTTTTAGAGAACTGTGTGATTTCTTTTTAGGCTAAAAAATATTTCTCTTTATGTGGCTAGCTTTGTCGTAACTTATCAGAAGTTCAGATACCTTGACTTCCTTTCGCTTGCTATCTTCATCTGCTTCATGTTCCACCACACCTTGAGTCACATTTGTGTAGTTTGCTAGTTTGTTAAGAAGAGATGACACCATTGGATTGCTATCCATTTCCTCCTGTCAGGATTTTAAGAAAACTGCATATAATAAAAACTTAAATTATGATTCTATGGTACTACTTCAAACATACACTCAACAAGTTATTCCTGAATCATTCTAATCTGAAAACTAGCATGACCAAATACCAGCCATGTCAAAGAACAAAAGTAAATCTTTATAGTTGAATGCTACATGATTATATTGCTGTCCCTCCCTATATTGCAGTGGCAGGGTCATGACATTTAGACACAAACTGAATGCTGGAAAAAAAAAACCCTAAAAGTAGCCTTAGATAATTTTCTGAAGCACCTTCAGGCTCTCAAGAACCATGATCCACATGGACTACTCTTAAAACAATGTACATATTTTGAACAAATGTATGCTTTGGAACATATTCACATAAGATGTAATTAAATATATGTAATATTACTTGACACAGAAGCAAGCTGATCTTTCTTCAGCCAAATATCTGCTACAAAACCAAAGCATGGTGAAAACAATAATAAAATCCTAAAGAAACACATGCAATAAAAGGATACCAAGAGAAGCAGAACTAGAAGATTGAGTCAAGCACGCAGGATCAAATACTGGGAGGAAGACAACAGATTGGAACTGAAAACAGTAATATACAAAAACTAATCTTTGCCTGAAGGTATTAGGTCATGACAACACAGTTCTTTGAACTAACTTCTTTGAACTTATTAAAGATCTTTTACAAATACAAGTCAGCTGAAAATGTTAAGACTCCAGGAAACATATACTACAGAGCACAGGATACCAAAAAAATCCAATGCTACATCAGCAATGTGTTGAAAACAACTAATGCAAGCATATATGTCAAAGATGATTAGGGACAATAAGGGGAAAAAAAAAAGCAAAAAAAAAAAAAAAACAGCAGCAACAATTTGTCAACAGTGAGTAACACAATATCTTATTTGAACAAGAAGTAGTTTTGCATACTGATCTATGAATTCAAATTTGAAGGAGATAAATCCAGAGACAAAACTCTGGTATCATGATTTCCGTCAAAAAAAAATAGTAAGAAATGTCATAAGTGGTAAAGAGATTTAATGACAAACATCAATGACTCCTAGTTCAATCTTCTCTAAAGTTCAGTGAAAAGCAGTGCACAAATTTTTGTCCGACAGGAGAACTGAAAGATTATGTTTTCTGTGCTAACATTTTTGGAAGAAAGAAGGTAGGAGCACAGAAGGACAACAAGAGAATGGGAGGTTGAATGCAATGCATATATGTAATGCATATATACATACTATATATATATATATAGTAATATATAAATTGCAAAACAAAACATGCATCCAGACACATACACAACGAAATGAGAACTTACCTCAAAGAGAGCCATATTTTTACCTTCGTACATGTTTCCTCTGTCCATCTCTGCACTGTTAATAAACGGACTACTTTCCCTAGAAACACCATCTCCTAGCAGAAAACAAAACAAAAATCAGCAAGGTTCATCATACAAAGGATATTCTCAGGATGTTGTTTTAAAAATATTCCAGGAAGCAAATGGAACTGCAGTCGAATTCCTACTTCAAAAACAGGACAACTATGAAATACCTAACCTGATAAGGAACAACCACACTGAAAAAGTCACTGGTCGCTTAAGGTAGCTATACTATTTTAAAAATAACTTGGGTTTTTTTATTGTTGTTTTTTGATGCCTTAGGCTTTCAGTGTTCAAGAAGTTATGAGTTCAAGAAGGTATGAGTCAGTTGCACAGGGACTCTATGACCACACCTAAGGAAATACTTCAGTAGTATTGAGACAGGAATTTATGAGAAGAAAAAAAAGTTGTAAGAATTATTTTGTAAAATTTGCAGAGACTCTATGATATGCCATGTTTATTCTATTTCTTGTTGAGGTACCAATCACACGCAGCTGTAGATTCTCTGACCAGCTCCGAAGCACCTTTTCAAATACCTCATCACTTTCACTGGTGTCTAGCCTTACAATGCAAGAATGTGCTCATACTGTCACAACACTGGAAACTCCAAATTGCTCATTTGGCCTTACAAATTGCAGTAACAATAAATATATGTAGCCTCTTTGCTACACAATTGAAAAAGAGCTGGAGAAAAAAATAAACTGTCCTCTCTTCCCTGTGTCCTTCACTATATCCTTTCCAGGGCACTTCTCCCAACCTGAAGTCCCAGAACAAACCAGCAGTACTATCCTGGTTGTAACAGGAGAGAAGTACATCCAATTACCTCAAGAAGATAAGACTAAAAATATTCCTGAAAAGGATCCTTGCAGTGTTTATCACTCCCTCATACAATGGGCTCCACACTATCACAACACTATGACAGAAGCTGCAATGGTACCATAAGAGATTCAAAAGACAGCTATTGTCCATCAGTCCTCCAGAATTACTTCCATGGTCCAAAATAACTGTTAATTCACTCACAACTACTGTTCTTACCTAATGTTTTATCTTATCCACCAGCTTCCATTTTTGTTTCTCTATAGATTATAATTAAAGCCACGTTGCTTCAAGTCCTACAGCCTGGCTAGTTTTCCACACTTTCTCACACATCAGCATTTGGTTGGTTTTGCTGTTGTACATTTTCACAAGGCATGAAATGTATCAGTTTAGCACAAGATTGTCAGGGAAACTGGCTTTTATCCTTTAATTAGCCCCACTGTACTTAGAGAAAACAGTCCAGTTAACATAAAACAAAACACAACTATGTCCTCAAATACTTGCTGACTTCTCACATCATCACACTAAAGCATACATACCAGTACTAGAACTTTGTAGTTTCTCACCAAAATTACCAGAACACTGTTTTCTTCAGCTGTGTTCCTTGAAATGTCTATGCTATTTCTGTTAAAGTTTTTAAAAAGCATTCCTTACAAGACCAATTCAACAGCTAAAACTCTTACATTGGATAAGGTTTCTTAATATTTGTCTTACTAAGGCCACAGTTCTGTTGACTTTTCTTGTCCACTGACAGCTAGTAGTGGTACTTATTAGCTAAATACTAACACTCCCTTTGGGGTACAAAGGATTAGTCTTCAAAAAATGAGTTGGTCCATTTCAAGCGTTGGTTTGCATTCGTACAGGGCGTAATGTAACTAGAGTTATGACTCAGCAGCAAATATTAGACCACACAAATTATCAAAAAGATATACTAAACTATTTATTGTGAATATTTATTCACTTTATTAATCTTAACACTTTCAGAAGTAAAATGAACTCAGCACTGTACACTGATAATTTAGGTTATAGATAGCTGAATACTGAAGTCCTCCTTTATAACCTCAGGTTTCACCAGGGAGGTTTAGGTTGGATATCAGGACAAACCTCTTTACACAAAAGGTTGTTAAGCATTGGAATAGGCTCCCCAGGGAGGTGGTTGAGTCACCATCCCTGGATGTGTTTAAAAACCATTTGGATGTGGTGCTCAGGGACACGATTTAGCAGAGGGTTGTTAGAGTGAGGGTAGTATGCTTGGGTTGTGGTTGGACTTGATGATCTTGAAGGTCTTTTCCAACCTGAGTGATTCTATGATTCTGTTTCTTGGTTCTGTTCCAGTAAGAAAAAACTCAGAATATCATCTCTAACAAACAAGTCTTGTCAAAAACACCTTCAAACTTCAAATGGAAAAACATAAAACAGGATTTCAATTCCTCAAATTCTTTTTTTTTTTCCTCAGCATTTCCAGCCAACATTGCACCTGTCCATGCCTCTCTAATAAAGTTATGAGAAAAGTAATTATACCTACTGTATCACTCTACTCCCTAACATACTAAGCTCTTTTCCAACAGCAGATACATCATAACACACAAATTACAAAATGACCCAGGGCTGTGTGCTGAAGTTCTAGCCCTAACATTATAACTGTGAATGCCATTAAACCTTTTCTCATTAACGCTTCCATACAACAAATAAAACATACGCTGGAATTAGGCCTGTATTCAAAGTATTTGTCTTGAAGGGTAAAATGCACTTGGATCAAATTCGTATTCCCTTCCATATCCCATTACATTTTGTTGCCCTGCAGTATCTGACAGCAGAGAGGCAGTCTGAGAAAATGGCATCTGACCTGGAAGTGCGTGTGAAGCAAAAGTGCATAATTTGATTCCATTGTATGGAAAAAATTGTGCCCATTGACATTCATTGACACTAGCTAAATGCTTATGGAAAACAAAGAAGCCATGGGCTACCCACTCTCTCCTGAGAGAAGGCCCCCTGCTTGCACAGGGCCTGGAGGCATATGAAATCCCCCAGGAACACAGAGGGGCCCTTGTGTAGCCCCTCCACCAGATCAACCCTGCAGCCACTACTTGAGCCCTACAGTTGTACCCTTGGCTTCTAAACAAAATTGTGAAGACTCTCCTAGCACAACAGCCAGCAAAACAGGAGGCCAGGTGACTGCAGCTGTAATGTCTGTGCAAAGCAACAGATCGCTGCTGGGGTCTTTTAGTTTAAATTTGTCAGAGCAGGATCCTCTTCTCTGCCTTCCTCTTACTGTTGCTTTGAAGAGCAGAAGCGGCATTGCTGCCAAAGGTGTGCCGAGCTCTGCTGGCAGGAGGAACCAGGTGGAGCTGTGTAAAGGCAGGTGGGAGGCAGGTGGATAGAGAGAAAGATAAGTAGGAACAAAGCAGGAGGTTCTCAGGGATGGCAGGCAGAGATGGATGTTAGTTCTGCTCATGTCTGCATTCCTCCACTCCTTCATTTCTCCAGAGGCAGAATGAAGATAAGGCCCAGGTCAAAGGGTCTTGACAACATCAAAGCACAATGATTCTTTATTTTGCCCATAGGACAATCAGAATACCTTCTTACAATCAAAATACCTTCTTACAAAACTGTTAGTCTTGATGTTCAGAGATCCTGTGCCTACTCTGGTTTCTCTGTGTCACTCTCAGAGCTGAAGTCAGCAGCTTAGTTAGACTTGCGTCCACCACTGTGAGGGACAAAATAAGCTCAGGCTTTTCCTACCTTTGTGGGCATATTCCCCTTCCCTGCCTATAGCAGGGCAATTGGACATAGATGATCCTAAAAGTCCCTTCCAACCCAAACCAGCCTATTTATGTTGGTATACTGAGGCCACAGGTTGTGCATTTCAGCAGTGATGACAGTGATGTGAAGCCACAAGCCACGTTGTGGACAGCCATGCACAGCAGTCAGGTCATGAAAGTGGTTCAATGACTCATCTACTCAAATTGGTGGACTATGGGCAGGGAACTGTGTACAGAGCTGAATAATGGCTCCAATGCTGTGGAAACAATTTGGAAATTCATTTGCAACATTGAAATATTGCAAATTTTTCACCAGGTGTTTCCCATGAATACTCACACAGGAACAGACTAGCCTCATACTAGTTTGAAGACTGTGAAGCACACTATCAATCTTGGCTGGACTGTCCTGAATCTGCACTTGGATGCTTGTTCAAGAGATGAAGGACAAAAAAAAATATTAGACCATCTAATCTTTTTTTCCCATGTTTCCAAAGATTGCAGAATTTCTGCATTAGGCAGAACAACTTTGAGAAAGCATGCTAAGATCTGACCCTAGTGTTCTCAGACTTGAAATAAAAATTGCAGAGTTTTATGATGGTGATGATGGTTAAGGATTTTTAATCAGCAGAAAAATCTCAAAGAAGTTTTCCTTATTTCTAATTTAACCTGGCTTTTTTCAAAATTTTTGCTGTAATTTCTTAATACACCTTCCAAACACAACATGCAAGGGAAGACATGCAAGAAAAATTCAAGCTCTAAAAACCAAGTACAGCCTTCTAATATTAGGCTCAACTGTGCTATTTAAAGAAGCATAATAATCACCTTTCTACTCCAAGGATCATGCCAGCCCTCTTTAACACAGCATTAAACCAAGCTCGTGCTATTCTATTCCAGCCTGATCCCTAAATCCTTTCTGTTCCACACTATACCTGCTCTTTATTGCTCACACTCAAAAAAATGTTCCTATTTGACTTCATATTCAAATACGTTTTGTCCAAACAAGCCCCAGTGAGCAAGCACCTGTATCTCTTGTTACACTACAAGGGAGGGGAGGGGAGAGGAGGGGAGGGGAGGGGAGGGGAGGGGAGGGGAGGGGAGGGGAGGGGGAGAGGAGAGGAGAGGAGAGGAGAGGAGAGGAGAGGAGAGGAGAGGAGAGGAGAGGAGAGGAGAGGAGAGGAGAGGAGAGGAGAGGAGAGGAGAGGAGAGGAGAGGAGAGGAGAGGAGAGGAGAGGAGAGGAGAGGAGAGGAGAGGAGAGGAGAGGAGAGGAGAGGAGAGGAGAGGAGAGGAGAGGAGAGGAGAGGAGAGGAGAGGAGAGAAAAAAGCTTGCATAGATTTTGAAAACTAGAAAAAAAGTGCTCCAAAATAGCAACTCAAAAGCACAGCCCATGCATGCTGGAATATGTTCTGATTATCAAGATACAATGAAATGTCCCTTTCCTAACAAAAACTTAAGTAG